TAAAGAACAAAGAAAGAAAGAAATCATTTTGCCTTTCGACCGACTAACATTAATGACGTTGTCCCATGACGTCATAATCATTTGCATGCGGGATCGGGTAACCTAGTGGTAAAGGGCGTCGCAAAATGCAGTGCAAACTTGTGTGCCGCAGCAATGCCAGGATCTGATGATCTCGGGTTCGACTCCCTGATTACTATCCTTTGAATATTAGCACAATATCGTGTCACAGTGGGCTGTTTCCTGTATTATGTTACAAGCAGTGTCGCGTCATACAAAAAGACGTTAAAATATGGTACTTGTTTTTACCCTGCCTGGCGCTCGGCATTAAGGGTCTGGTCAGTATACTGTGTCTGAGTAGGGTATTCATGTTAAACTGCGGCATGGTATCTCAGTGGGCTAGGACTATTAAATCGGCATTAGTCCGGACTACCACAAACACACAAACACGCGCACACACACATACACACATACACACACACACACACACACACACACACACACACACACACACACACACACACACACACACACACGTGCATGCACGTCGCTACACAAGTGCAATAATCTTGGACGCGACGTTGACTCCCATTTCACCTCACCCCACCTACAAGCAGTGTTCAAATACAAAAGTAGACAGTCAACCAAACTCACTCACTCACTCTTGGAAGACTCATACAGGTCATAGTCGTCCTGGGCAAATATTATGGGTTGCAGCCCGCAGACAATACTAATAATGTCAATTTCGCAAACATTGAGCTATTACTTTTATATAAATCCAACACGCCGTGATATAACTGACATACTGTTCATTCTCGCTTTTCTTAAAAAAATTTTTTTAAAGGAAATATGATGGTTGCAGGATGACAATGGATACATAGTAAAGACTCATTTTTTGCGCAAACGTCTATTCATGAAATAATGATGAAAAGGTCGTGTCGACCCGCGGGAGCATTCGTTGTACGAGATGAGTGTCTTTGATTACCAGCTGCCTTGTTGACACAGTGGGCTTTCAGGGGTGCCATCCACTTGTCAACTATGTCTCGTATCTCTTCAACCGAATTTTTCACTGGCTGATTTTTAAATCGTTAAATCTTTCGAGGTTGGCTGTCAAGATCCAACACCTAGGTATTAATTCCAGACTCTTTCACTTTGGATAAATTGCCCATGGGGTTATTCAGATTATGTTATTGTTTCCCTGTTAACCGCTACTTTTTTTTTTTAGCGCCCCATACACGCAGTCTGTCGAGCATGTTCACTATCAGACATGTTCCCTTTTTTCTGCTGCATCAGATCTTGATGTTTAATGTCGGCTGAAACTCAATACCTGCGTACAATATATGACAAACAAGCTCGGAAAGTTACACGGCGACGGCCATTGATCGGTAGACATGCGCACTCACTGGCAGGAAGTGGTTCAAAGGTTATTGGTGACGTACACTCATCGCACAGGATGTTAGAGTGGGGGAGAGCTACGTGGTATTTTCGAAGGCCATGTCGTCTTTTTGAGTCTATCATGAGTAACGGCTTCTGTTCAATATCGGTGATGAAGCCAGTTTAAGAGACAAAAATAGTTTCGTTGCTCATGACGTAATGATGCCATGCTTGAAGAATTAAACAATGCCGTACGTGTGATGACAAGCTGTTTATTGTAACATGATACAACGTTCTACGTTGTGAGGTATACAATGTTGTTGTGTTATGTCGACATATTACTATGACAATATGCTACAGTACTCTACATTGTGAAGTATACAGTTTTAATATTTTGACAAGTTACAACACTGTTCATTGTAACGGTATACAATGTTATTTTGACATACTACAACAATGGTTATTGTGAAAGTATACGGTTTAATATTTTAACAAGTTACAACACTGCTAATCGTATCGGCATACAGTGCTATTTTGACATACTACAACAATGTTTATTGTAAATATATACAGTTTAATATTTTAACATGTTACAATACTGTCTATTGTAAAATGATACAATGGTATCAACACCGTTCAACGTAACAGTACACAATGTTTTTTTGACATGCTACAATACTGTTTATTGTATAGCACACAATGGTGTTAATATGACATGTTAAAACATTGTTCAATGTAAAAAGATGCAATGCTGTTGTTTTGACATGCTACAACACAAGTTATTCTAAAAGTATACAGTTTAATATTTCAACATGTTACAACACTAATCATTGTAACGGTATATAATGTTATTTTGACATGCTACAATACTGTTTATTGTATAGCACACAATGGTGTTAATATGACATGTTAAAACATTGTTCAATGTAAAAAGATGCAATGCTGTTGTTTTGACATGCTACAACACAAGTTATTCTAAAAGTATATAGTTTAATATTTCAACATGTTACAACACTAATCATTGTAACGGTATATAATGTTATTTTGACATGTTACAATACTGTTTATTGTAAAAGCAAACAATGTTGTTAATATGACATGTTACAACACTGTTTCTTGTAAAAGTATACAGTTTAATATTTTAACATGTTATAACACTGTTAATTGTAGCGGTATGTTATTTTGACACGGTATAATGTATACTGTTTATTGTAAAACCTTACAGTGTTCTCGTTTTGACATGCTACAACACTAGTTGTTCTAAAAGTATACAGTTTAATATTGCAACATGTTACAACACTAATCATTGTAACGGAATACAATGATTTTTTTTACATGCTTCAATACTGTTTATTGTAAAAGTATACAGTATATATTATAACATGTCACAACACTGTCCATGGTAAGGGTATACACTGTTTTTAGAAATGGAACAAAACTGTTTATTGTAAAAGTATACTGTTTAATATTTTAACATGTTACAACACTGTTAATTAAAACGGTATATAATGTTATTTTAACATGTAACAACACTGTTCATCAAAACGGTATATAATGTTATTTTAACATGTTACAACACTGTTCATTGTAACAGTATACAATATTATTTTGACATGGTATAATACCGTTTATTGTAAAAGCATACAATGTAAATGTATACAATGTTGTATTGTGTCATGTTACAACATTGTTCATTGTAAAATGATGATACACCACTCCTTTTGTTAAAAAAATCTACAATATTGATATTATGACATGTTACAACACTGTCCATAGTGAAAGTGTGACACCTGACTCTGGGCTCGATCACCGGCCGCGACAGTGATAGAAGTAGTACTAGAGTGAGTGAGTGAGTGAGTGAGTATGGTTTTACGCCGCTTTTAGCAATATTCCAGCAATATCACGGCGAGGGACACCAGAAATGGGCTTCACACATTGTACCCATGTCGGGAATCGAACCCGTGTCTTCGGCGTGACGAGCGAACGCTTTAACCACTAGGCTACCCGACCGCCCAGTAGTACTAGAAGCAGTGATAGAAGTAGTAGCAGCAGTAATAAGTGTGGTAGATGTATACATAGCAGCAGTAGTAACAGCAGAAGCAGTAGCAGTAATATCAGGAACAACGTTAACGTCAGTCGGGAAGCTTATCTGTCGGGGGAACTCGGGTTCGGAACCCCCTGCCCTTTAATCCGCCCTACACAGGTACAACGAAAAGTTAAAGCGACCGCCTAATTACATCCTGACCATGAACTGAGCAGTATCTTGACAACCAGGCTGACAGCGATCTTTTTTTCCCTTTGAATTCGAAATCAGGCATCCATACCTCAAAATAAGATAAAAACTCTAGTCACTTCGATTTATCATATTTGTGATGGACTTAACATACTCGACAACCCAGGTCAGGGATGAAGGGGTTTGCTACAGAAGAGGATGAATTGGTTTGTTTTGTGTGTTGGCCAAGTTACTCAAATCCCCTGCTCCGCGACCTCGCCCCCTTTCCAAACACAGCCTCTGCTGGGATTACGGAAACAACATGGCGGACGGCTCGTAGTGGAATTTGCCGCTTTCTGGCACATTTGCGACTGATTCGAAATATGAAACAAGTCATTGTTTTCATTTTTCAAGTTATGTTAGTCACATGTTGCAAATGTTTCGTACATGATTCGTAATGCAATGCAGACATTGTTATGGGGAAACAATGTCGTGAAGCAATTATGGGGAAGATATTCGTCGTGACGGTCATGCGTAATGGTCACAACTAATACGACTCATCTCGGTAACGTCAATCATTGTCAACAAAGCCATGGATTGTGAAATCACATCACAATCTAGTCACAGTAAAATAGGGTTTTATCTTGGAACGATAGGTAACACGTCAAATCTTGTGTGACCATGTTTGTAATCGAATTTTATGATGAGATATAACTAAATGTACCAAAGTACATTTTGGTAATTTTGATCGAAAATCCCAATAATAATATTTTACATAATTGAATTATAAGTGGATTTGCTTAAACTAAACTGTCGTGTCAAAGAAAGTATATACTTGAAAATTGGATTTGACCCAAAAATTTACCAACGTTATCAAAACGTTATTAGGATGATACCCGCATCAAATAATGACCATCATATAACCATTTCTTGTTTGTTTTATGTTTCGCTACCGTCAAACATATGGGTGCATGTTTACTGCCTTGTGCCAGGCAAACTAGTAAGCAGAGTAGAATTACATACACACTGGACAGACATACAGACAGACATAATGGTCGAGTTAAACGCGACGTTTGTCCATTACTCCAAGACCAGTGAAAAGTTCTAAGGACTGGTAATTTTCCCAAAAGATGTTGCGCTCTTACATAACAACTAGTCCGAAATTAATTTCAGCAGAATTGGTTAAGCACATGCGTACCCAGCCATGATGTCATATAAAATTCAATGTGAACAAAACAAACAAAAGAATACGCAGAAAACAGAAGTTATGCTGTATCATTTTCCTCAATACCAATAACAGAGATTCCTATCACCTCCATCACAGGGGTTTGCTTATGAACAAACCCCCGAAACACTATCATTGCACATTCGTACTGTAAATGTAATACAACGTAGAAACTACAAACTTGGTACTTACCATCAGAGGTTGCAGGGATCGAGGCAAACGTCAGTAGAACCAAAACAACGGTAGAGAAAGTCGTTGTAAGATGAGTCCTGGTCGCCATATCAACAGCGACTGATAGCCCGCCGTCGCATATCCGCATCCTTTAACACATGGCATTAGTTGTTTAGCAAAGATCATCAGTTTGTTTACTCTTTCTTGTTCGAGCAGCGGCGAGGGTAAATTTGCATTGGGTTGGTTAACATTGTATCCAAGTCAAAAATAGATCAACGTGCACTGTTTACACATCAACATCAACAATCACTGGCAAATCTCCGATTTCAAAGGAGTAATCCTGTTTAATTCGTAGATTTAAGATTTACACCACAATTGGAGTTGGATTTGTCAAATTTGGAGTCGTGTGAGGGACAGAAAGTGTTGTTTCCGAAATGATTCCCAAGTTCGTATATTTCCTGTGAATCGTGACTTCTTAACGTTGTAAATTTAAAAAACAAAGTTAACAAATATTGCTGTGTAATTAATACTACAAGGAAATTAAACACAAATACAGAGGCCCAAATTAAAGTTTTTCCATGTATCTTTGGGAAATATCTACTAATGGTATTTTTATCTTCTTGATAAATGTACACGATACCACCAATGCCAACTGGAGTGAGTGAGTGAGTATGGCTTTACGCCGCTTTTAGCAATATTGCAGCACTATCACGGCGGGGGACACCAGAAATGGGCGCCAACTGGAATTTACAAGAATATTCTGTATGTTTATCAGGGTGAGTGAGTATGGTTTTACGCCGGTTTAGCAATATTTCAGCACTGGACACCAGAAATAGGATTCGCACATTGTACCCGTGTGGGGAAGCGAACCCGGGACTTCGGCGTGACGAGCGAACGATTTAACCATTAGGCTACCCACTCCCCCCATCAAGGTAGTTCTAAGTCAGATCATAGGATACACAGAAGCAGAGGTAGCAACTGAAAGTGTTATTAAATATTGTCATGAAACGGTTATAAAACATGTAATTTAATTGTCAATGATTTATATGAGTATGTACCTTGTAGAGAAAAAAACAAATGTGTTTCGTCAGAACATTAATACAGAATTAATTAATACATTAGTCCGCCATACAGACCCTGGCACAAATATATCCAATACAGCCCATGCAAGTCTCTATAGTTGGCAAGTCGAGATTACTGGTGTATTTGAAAATGAAGAAATTCTCTGAGCTCCTTTTTATTATATTTTATTATTTTAATTTAACAACTGTTATTTCTGTAAAATATGTTTATTTCAGAGACTAGATGTTAGTCCAGGAAATAGTTATATAATAACAGGTGGTGAGTCGTTTTCTTAGCGTACATAAACCATATATTCATAGTCAACAGTGACTGAAATATAAATCTCATGGTAAGGGAGCATCCATTTGATTTGCATAGGGGGAAGGAGGAGGGGGTTAATTTTTAGAACAATCTATTTTCCCCCAGCTATATCCAACAAACTATTTATTTAATGAGCACCATCACACACCCTCTTCATTTTCACTACTAACACGAACATTTTGACTTTTGGGCATTTTCCACAAAGCAAAATATTCATGTTGTTCAACACTGCCAACAAACTATTCATTTGGGGCATATTTCTGAACAATCTATTCATTAAAAATCCTCCCTAACTGATAATCATTGCTACTCATAATGTTATATCGAAATGTTGTATGTGTTTGAAATATAAATTTAAAATGTATAAAAATAAAAAAGCCAAAGCAAAATATTCATGTTGTTCAACACTGCCAACAAACTATTCATTTGGGGCATATTTCAGAACAATCTATTCATTAAAAATCCTCCCTAACTGATAATCATTGTTACTCATAATGTTATATCGAAATGTTGTATGTGTTTGAAATATAAATTTAAAATGTATAAAAATAAAAAAAGCCAAAATGGGTCTTTGGAACGACAATACGCTTTCCAACGTTGAATAAGACATGAATTTTGAGTAATATTTGCTAAAAACATGACATGATAAAAAAGGACTTTATCGCAGTTACTCTTGAATTCAATTCTGTATCCAATATACATTAGTTTCCAATTACTGTACCTTATGTGTGTCAGCCCGTTTCTCCCTCTTGATTCTCGATATACATCCCGACAGGTGTTGAAGTGTCACTGATTAATTCCACACCCTGCATTCCATGTATATTTGCTTACCTACGAGGGGCTAGGTGTGCACTGCAATAGTCACGTGTGGACAAACTAACAGGGGCAAAGCGCATGCGCCAAGAACAATTCTTGGACGTGACCTTTAATTAACGATGAAATCACACATAATCTGCGCATGTGTCACTCCTTCTCATTGTGAAAGCGAATGTGTTGGTCGTGTTTCAATGCAATTGTTGGTACGACCTATCAGGAACAGGCTGGGGACACATTCAAGTTTGCCATGTCAAGCTGTCTAATGTATATCAATAAATTATAAACAATTAACAATTACCCGTATTAAACAGCTCCATACAATCAAAGGGACAAAACCATTTCCATAAATTCATAAGAAATCTCCGAGTCGAGTGTACGATTTATTAATACATTTAATTCAAAGACCCGACCTTGACTGAAACTGACAACAGACAGTTAATTTGATTCAGATTCGTTCATTCCTCAAAATCAATACACAGTTGATAGTAAACATATTAAATGGGTTTCAAGACGACTGAATATACATGTTTGTTATTATTAATTTAGATTTTATTTATATGCGTCCGAAACCGACAGCTGTTTTCGTTCTCTACGAATAAATTGCATTGGATAATCTCCGGATTTGATATATTCGGACAGTTTCGACCAATATGATGACGTCACGCTATTGTTCTTGCAATGGATTCTGAGCCAGGAGTTCTGGCCAATCTGAACGTGCATTCTGTGCAAGAAAAACTGACACAATTAAAGGTCATTATGCAAAATTATAGAGAAATTATAGATCAACCATAACTAGGTTTAAGTCTTAAAATTCACTCGAATTTGTTGATTCCGCAGTTTCTCATGACTTCTCAATTTATATTTTACATAAAAGTTAAAGTGAAAGACTTAACTGACTTCGTCGGCTGGTATGTTGGTTTGTTTGTTGTTAAACACTCAGCAATATTCCAGCTATATGACGGCCGCCTGTAAATAATCGAGTCTGGACCAGACAATCCAGTGATGAGCATCGTTCTACAGCTTGACCACCCGATCCCGTGAGTCGCCTCTTACGCCAAGCATTGGTTGCTGCAAATGAATTATAACCAGGATCTTCACAATGTCTTTGGCTGGCGAGCTACTAAGGGTACATCGTGTTTCATCTCCAGGACTATTGTTCCATATAAACGTCTCAATAGGGCCGTTGGGAATCGAGGTTATAAATCGGCTAGGAGAAAAGTGTCATCATGTTAGAATCTTTGTAATAAAACCGTTTGAGCTTGACGCATCGGACTACGCTACATTTGAAGAAAAAAAAAAAAATTTAAAAGAGTTTAAATGTTGTCAACTTTAATTACATCTTAACGTTTTTAATTAACAAAAAGATATATGAACATGTCTTTATACGTCACAACTAGTATACTTTTATTATATGACAAATAGTTGTGATGCGTGTTTTGCTTTGAGTTAAGGTATAACAACTTCTTTAATATGTTGCTGTTTCGGTATAACGCATCATACTGTTTCAGGAGCGACTGATCTTTACCGAATCGTCGCTAAATTGCCAGTGTCAACGTCTAAGAAATACTTGTCAAATATTTTTTTTAAATGTTTAACAATAACTGTCTTTTTACCATGAAACCCTTGTTAAAATAGAACCACCTCACAACAAAGACAGTTGCATGGTTTGTTTTTCTCATGATAAATATAATAGCTTTCAGTGTTGAAGAACGCCATACGTGTACAGCCGGAAACAATGTGGCTCGTGATGTATTTAAATCACATGGCTCATGGGATCGACAATGCTCGTTTCAAGTGCCCTTATCATTTGTTGATTGCAAATAAACAATACAAACCCAGACGGTGTTTTGAGAAACGGTAGATCGAGGTGCACATACCACGACGTGTGTACAATGACACTATCGTAAAAACTCCATCGTCAAACATACGGGCGAACGGGGAGCGGAATCAGCGGAGGAAGTTTAAGATGAAACCTCCCGAGAGAGCGGACATGAATGTTGTAGGTATGTGAAACAGTGTACACGGCTGCATGTCATATACACCAACACATTACCCCCACCCGGTCATTGATATTCAGGATTTTAACAACCCATTTAAGAGCTTTCACCTTCGTTATTGTATGAGGAGAGTTACTTCCCCTGTGAGTACCAGGATCTTACGATCGCGAGTTCGTATCCTAGATTCGCTCTGAATATGATCTTACCCAGTGCTCGTGGGTTTCACTTGACCTGATAAGATGTCAGCTTTTGAAAACGATTCGGTTTTTATTTCTTAACCACTTCGATTGATAAATATAAATATTAACAATAGGAAATCTTCACGGAACAAACATTCCCTCGTTATTCAACCACTTGAGTGGAGATGCCGTGGCGCTCAGAAACGACAGGATGCATAGAATACCAACAGCGTATATCACCGCCTTTCCATTGTTCAATCAGAACTCCCTGTTTATGTTATTTGGTTAAGCCAAGCTCGTATCTGTATCAAACGAGACGACAAAACTACAACAAGCCTATTGATTTGTGTTTGCATGTCAGTGTTGTAAGCTATGCTTGGAGTGCTTTGTCATGCGTGTTGTGCGTGTTTATTGTGATGTGATGTGCATTACATTTAGAGTGTGGTGAGATGGGTGTGTTATGTATAGAGATTTGTGTTATGTGTATTACATTTAGAGTGTGATGAGATGGTTGTGTTATGCATAGAGATTTGTGTGATGTGTATTACATTTAGAGCGTGGTGAGATGGGTGAGTTATGTATAGAGAGTTGTGTGATGTGTATTACATTTAGAGTGTGGTGAGATGGATGTGTTATGTATAGAGAGTTGTGTGATGTGTATTACATTTAGAGCGTGGTGAGATGGGTGAGTTATGTATAGAGAGTTGTGTGATGTGTATTACATTTAGAGTGTGGTGAGATGGGTGAGTTATGTATAGAGAGTTGTGTGATGTGTATTACATTTAGAGTGTGGTGAGATGGGTGTGTTATGCATAGAGAGTTGTGTGATGTGTGTTACATTTAGAGTGTGGTGAGATGGGTGAGTTATGTATAGAGAGTTGTGTGATGTGTATAACATTTAGAGTGTGGTGAGATGGATGTGTTATGTATAGAGAGTTGTGTGATGTGTATTACATTTAGAGCGTGGTGAGATGGGTGAGTTATGTATAGAGAGTTGTGTGATGTGTATTACATTTAGAGTGTGGTGAGATGGATGTGTTATGTATAGAGAGTTGTGTGATGTGCATTACATTTAGAGTGTGGTGAGATGGGTGTGTTATGTATAGAGAGTTGTGTGATGTGTATTACATTTAGATTCTGGTGAGATGGGTGTGTTATGTATAGAGAGTTGTGTGATGTGTATTACATTTAGAGTCTGGTGAGATGGGTGTGTTATGTATAGAGAGTTGTGTGATGTGTATTACATTTAGAGCGTGGTGAGATGGGTGTGTTATGTATAGAGAGTTGTGTGATGTGTATAACATTTAGAGTGTGGTGAGATGGGTGAGTTATGTATAGAGAGTTGTGTGATGTGTATTACATTTAGAGTGTGATGAGATGGGTGTGTTATGTATAGAGAGTTGTGTGATGTGTATTACATTTAGAGTGTGGTGAGATGGGTGAGTTATGTATAGAGAGTTGTGTGATGTGTATTACATTTAGAGTGTGGTGAGATGTGTTATGTATAGAGAGTTGTGTGATGTGTATAACATTTAGAGTGTGATGAGATGGGTGTGTTATGTATAGAGAGTTGTGTGATGTGTATTACATAGAGAGTGTGGTGAGATGGGTGTGTTATGTATAGAGAGTTGTGTGATGTGTATTACATAGAGAGTCTGGTGAGATGGGTGAGTTATGTATAGAGAGTTGTGTGGTGTGTATTACACTTAGAGCGTGGTGAGATGGGTGTGTTATGTATAGAGAGTTGTGTGATGTGTATTACATTTAGAGTGTGGTGAGATGGGTGTGTTATGTATAGAGAGTTGTGTGATGTGTATTACATTTAGAGTGTGGTGAGATGGGTGAGTTATGTATAGAGAGTTGTGTGATGTGTATTACATTTAGAGCGTGGTGAGATGGGTGTGTTATGTATAGAGAGTTGTGTGATGTGTATCACATAGAGAGTCTGGTGAGATGGGTGTGTTATGTATAGAGAGTTGTGTAGTGTGTATTACATAGAGAGTCTGGTGATATGGGTGAGTTATGTATAGAGAGTTGTGTGATGTGTATTACATTTAGAGTGTGGTGAGATGGGTGTGTTATGCATAGAGAGTTGTGTGATGTGTATAACATTTAGAGTGTGGTGAGATTGATGTGTTATGTATAGAGAGTTGTGTGATGTGTATTACATTTAGAGTCTGGTGAGATGGGTGTGTTATGTATAGAGAGTTGTGTGATGTGTATTACATTTAGAGTGTGGTGAGATGGGTGAGTTATGTATAGAGAGTTGTGTGATGTGTATTACATTTAGAGTGTGGTGAGATGTGTTATGTATAGAGAGTTGTGTGATGTGTATAACATTTAGAGTGTGATGAGATGGGTGTGTTATGTATAGAGAGTTGTGTGATGTGTATTACATAGAGAGTGTGGTGAGATGGGTGTGTTATGTATAGAGAGTTGTGTGATGTGTATTACATAGAGAGTCTGGTGAGATGGGTGAGTTATGTATAGAGAGTTGTGTGGTGTGTATTACACTTAGAGCGTGGTGAGATGGGTGTGTTATGTATAGAGAGTTGTGTGATGTGTATTACATTTAGAGTGTGGTGAGATGGGTGTGTTATGTATAGAGAGTTGTGTGATGTGTATTACATTTAGAGTGTGGTGAGATGGGTGAGTTATGTATAGAGAGTTGTGTGATGTGTATTACATTTAGAGCGTGGTGAGATGGGTGTGTTATGTATAGAGAGTTGTGTGATGTGTATCACATAGAGAGTCTGGTGAGATGGGTGTGTTATGTATAGAGAGTTGTGTGATGTGTATCACATAGAGAGTCTGGTGAGATGGGTGTGTTATGTATAGAGAGTTGTGTAGTGTGTATTACATAGAGAGTCTGGTGATATGGGTGAGTTATGTATAGAGAGTTGTGTGATGTGTATTACATTTAGAGTGTGGTGAGATGGGTGTGTTATGCATAGAGAGTTGTGTGATGTGTATAACATTTAGAGTGTGGTGAGATTGATGTGTTATGTATAGAGAGTTGTGTGATGTGTATTACATTTAGAGTCTGGTGAGATGGGTGTGTTATGTATAGAGAGTTGTGTGATGTGTATTACTTTTGAGTGATACAAGTTGAGTGATGTGCATTGTGCCCGGTGTTTTGCGTGTGGTGCGCATTGTTTTATGTGCGCTGTTTTATGCATACTGATTTAACTCTTGTTATGCGTGTTATGCTTTGAGTGTTGCATGTTTGTGACGCGTGTTATGCTTTGAGTGTTGTTTGCTGCGATGCGTGTTATGCGTTGAATGTTGTATGCTGCGATGCGTGTTATCCTTTGAGTGTTGTATGCTGTGATGCGTGTTATGCGTTGATTGTATGATGTGATGCGTGTTATGCTTTGAGTGTTGTATGTTGCGATGCGTGTTATGCTTTGAGTGTTGTATGTTGCGATGCGTGTTATGCTTTGGGTGTTGTATGTTGCGATGCGTGTTATGCTTTGAGTGTTGTATGCTGCGATGCGTGTTATGCGTTGAATGTTGTATGCTGCGATGCGTGTTATACGTTGAATGTTGTATGCTGCGATGCGTGTTATGCTTTGAGTGTTGTATGTTTGTGACGCGTGTTATGCTTTGAGTGTTGTATGTTGTGATGCGTGTTATGCGTTGAATATTGTATGCTGCGATGCGTGTTATACGTTGAATGTTGTATGCTGCGATGCGTGTTATGCTTTGAGTGTCGAATGTTGTGATGCGTGTTATACTTTGAGTGTCGTATGTTGTGATGCGTGTTATGTCTTGAGTGTTGTATGTTGTGTTGCGTGTTATGTCTTGAGTGTTGTATGTTTGTGACGCGTGTTATGCTTTGAGTGTTGTATGTTGTGATGCGTGTTATGTTTTGAGTGTTGTATGTTCTGATACGTGTTTACGCTTGGGTGTTGTATGTTTTGCGATGCGTGTTATGCTTTAAGCGTTGTATGTTGCGATGCGTGTTATGCATTTAGTGTTCTATGTTGCGATGCGTGTTATGCTTTAAGCGTTGTATGTTGCGATGCGTGTTATGCATTGAGTGTTGTATGTTGTGATTCGTGTTTTGCTTTGTGTGTTGTCTTTTGCGATGCGTGTTATGCATTGAGTGTTGAATGTCTGTGACGCGTGTTATGCTTTGAGTGTTGGATGTCTGTGACGCGTGTTATGTTTTGAGTGTTGTATGTTGTGATGCGTGTTATGCATTGAGTGTTCTATGTTGTGATGCGTGTTATGCTTTGAGTGTTGGATGTCTGTGACGCGTGTTATGTTTTGAGTGTTGTATGTTGTGATGCGTGTTATGCTTTGAGTGTTGTATGCTGCGATGCGTGTTATGCATTGAGTGTTGTATGTTGCGATGCGAGTCATGCTTTGAGTGTTGTTTGTTGTGATGCGTGTTATATTTTGAGTGTTGTATCTTGGGATGCGAGTCATGCTTTGAGTGTTATGTGACATCTTAGTATATATGTTGTGCTATGTGTTTTATGTTGTGTCTGTAGATATTATATTACGTCTTACATTCAAGTGTAAAGTCATGGTGAGATCACTTGCAATCCCACTTGTCTTCCCTGATTTCACGATAAGTCCAAGCATTCGCTCATGCATGCCAAGACACTTAAACTTAACTAGACTGACAAAATGTCATAGAAAGAAATGATACAACTTCAGTTGTAATAATTTTGTTGTAAGCATTGTTGTAATTATTATAGTAAATATTCTCGAATAAGCCCAAATTTATTTCCTATAGTTATTCCTAATTCTTGTATCTTTACAAAGTATGAAAAGTATATAATTTTGACAACTGTGTTAATGAAATATTTTTTTGATGAAATAACGCGAATCCCTCATAATCAGAATTTAGTTACGACATAAACTGAAAAAACTCCATATAAATATGGTTAAAGTTTAAAAAATTAGAGGCAATGTTACTTATTTCAAAATGATTTTTTAAATCCATAAATATGCAATCGCTTAACGTGTGTGTCATGCTAAGGTTCCCATAACTGTCAAATATTTCAAAAAGTCGATCCTGGTTCTGTTCGTCGATGCAGACAACTTGTGAGAAAAACAAAAACAAACACATTATTCCTGGCTAATATTTAACAGTTTAATCACTTACAAACTGGGTTTAAAAAGACCCTGTCGTGTCTAACCACCATGAACCAACAGTGCCCCTAACGTTGTTATCACCCACAGTAAATGACTTGCACAGACAATACCTGGAACACTTAATTCAGTAACACGTAATTTAAATGCTGCATATCTCCCTTAGAATACAAGCACCTAAGTGTTCAATCTGCCACAATTCTGTTTGAGCTGGTGGTCATGGCGGCAGTAATGCGGGATTAATACACGAGGTCAACTCCTTCTGTTTGCAGACTCGCTTTACACAACGCCATATATCAAACATGGCGGGGTTCAACCGGGTCCTGGAAAATACGGAAATCTAATGTCCTTCCTCTTTTTAATTACCTTGTCTTGTTTGGCGTCCACTAAGGGGGGTAGAAAAGGGGATGCTGATAGTGAAAGGAAGTTTAAGACTCTGGAGGTACCAAGATGAGGAAGATCGCGCTTATCGTATTGTCAGTGTGCCTTGTGAAGGAAGGTAGGTGTCAACATTGAGCGTTCTCATTAGGAGATGTAATGAACTATATTGGGCTTCAGGATCATATTTATTTCCGCAGTGTTTTTATTGTTTGTAAGTGTTTAATCTGTTTGATATTTATGGTTATTCAAATCGAGAAGTGTGTTCACGAATATGATAGTGATAGGTATGAAATAGCTTTATTCAATATTCGATGAGGTCTTTGTTGAGAATAGGTCTTCAGCAACCCATGCCTGCCGTAAGAGGCGACTATGCTTGTCGAAAGAGGCGACTAATGGGATCGGGCGGTCAGGATCGCTGACTTGGTTGATGCATGTCATCGTATCCCAATTGCATAGATCGATGTTTATGATGTCAATCACTGGACTGTCTGGTCCGGACTCGTTTATTTAGAGACCACCGTCAAATAGCTGGAATATTGCTGTGTGAGGTGTTAAACAACAAACTAATTAGCAAATTAATAAGAGTGAGGAGATGTTGTTTTACGCCGCGGTCAGAAATATGCTAACACCATCACTGCGACCTGACAGACAAGTCGTGGTGGAAACTAGGAACACACAACCTGTATAATGAGTGAGTGAGTGAGTTTGGTTTTACGCCGTTTTTAGCAATATTCCAGTAATATCACGGCGGGGGACACCAGAAATGGGCATCACACATTTTACCCATGTCGGTAATCGAACCCGGGTCTTAACAACGAGGCTACCCGACCGCCCCACCTGTTCAGTGACCCAAACCAAGGAAGGTTTATACACTGTAACCACCTGGTGCTTGTTATTTTGCTACGGGGGATGGGAGTGTCTACGGAGAATTACAGGAATTGTGGTCTTGGGTTCGAATTCCATATTCCTCCTTATAATAATTCTTGGTTTGTCAGCGCCGTACCCGTGGTTTCACCAAAGTGGTAAACGTGTTAGGCCTGCATCACTTCGAGCTTACCTCTCATACTGGGGGGGGGGGGGGGGGGGGGGGGGGGGGGGTGTGGCGGTCGGGTAGCCTAGTGGTTAAAGCGTTCGCTCGTCACGCCGAGAACCCGGGTTCGATTCCCGACATGGGTACAATGTGTGAAGCCCATTTCTGGTGTCCCCCGCCGTGATATTGCTGGCTGGAATATTGCTAAAAGCGGCGTAAAACCATACTCACTCACTCACTCATACTGGGCCACCGCGTTAAGATGAGTGAAACTGTGTTCAAAGCTTTCGACTCACTCACTCATTCATATAAATAGACTGAAACGACAGGCATGGACTGATGGGCAACTATGCCCCGGATTCTACATGGACTTCGTGCATCTCGCTCTAAACCATACAATCATTAAATTATATTTAATCATTGAACAAGTTCAAAACATATCAGTTATCTTGCCACCAAATAACCAAGTGCGCATTAATTGCACGTGCAAGTGGATTTACGGCTTTCTCTGATATACTAAATGTTTGTCAACAAGCCATTAATTCAAGTAGGTGTTTTTATTATATACATATGCATGAAATACTGGAATTTATCAGTGACGATAGATCAAGTTATCAGTCACTAGTGACTGATATAAAAAAAGTTATATCAGTCACTAGTGACTGATATAAACAAGGTGCCGGAACTACTTTCTCCTGAATCAAAACATTGAAGAGTTATCCCCCTTTGTTTACGTCAGATGCCGACAGTATTAATCGTTGCTGTGATACAGTTTACCAAACTGATAAGAATAAACATGTCAAGTGTAATCGGTAGACATGCCAGAAACTGATAGAATATTCATTGTCCCATGACATTTTCGAATCCAGCGTTCTGATTATCCACTAACGGTAGCAAATCTATCTGCATGTTGCCCATGCATGACTGCATTGTGCTCCAGCGACGAGTAAGTACACTCTAACGTTGGGGATATACGGTGTGGGATGTGGGTTGCGGGATGCGATTTGTTTGTTCCATAAAACAACTGGCATCGTTTCCTAAGGATTTAAAAATTTTAAAAATCGGTCGCTCGATATCCTGGATGAACTGAAAAAGAAAACGATTGCGTGTCCTGAAGCAGTGACTTAAAACAAGATAACAATCTGTCTTCCTTTTCAAAATACCAGCCCTTGCAAAATGATTACTATCCGGAATGTATTGACATAGACAATTAATGCAGTTTCATGGCGTGTTAATATTAAACAGGCATGTTATTGGGTGTATTGATTCACAAGTTGATTGGCCCTGTTAAGAAGCACAATTGTAAACTTAAATTATTTTAAGGGGCGGTCGGGTAGCCTAGTGGTAAAAGCGTTCGCTCGTCAAACCAAAGACCCGGGTTCGATTCCCTACATCGGTAGAATGTGTGAAGCCCATTACTGGTGTCCCCCGCCGTGATATTGCTGGAATATTACTAAAAGCGGCGTAAAACCATACAGACTCACTCACTCTTCCACTAGCGGTGGCTTCATACTAACGAGTAGAGATACCACCGTACGTTAAGATGATGTCTTATGTGTTTAACGATTCACAGCGCTTACTAATCGCCGGACTACAGAATAATTAATTCAGATAAACATCCCGCTCCTTTTGTCGCGAAAAGCTGCACAACTGTTAAGTAGAAATTAAATGTTCACTGACTATCCCGCTTGCTTTCTCTGTATGAAGGGACGAGGGGGAAGAGGTAGCCTCGTGGTTAAAGCATTCGCTTGTCACGCTGAAAGCTCAGGTTCGATTCCCTTATTGGTACTTTACGTTGTAGGTCATTTCTGGTCTCCCTTTCTGTCCAATTGCTGAAATATTGCTGAAGGCGGTAAAAAAACCAATCTCATCAATTTACTCTACACTATATTCATTTTATGTTAGGGGGCACGGGTGGCCCAGTCGTCTAGGGCGCCGCGATTCGCTGTGCAGAGTTGCGTCCCTTGGGCACGCCAGAAACCTATGATGTGGGTTCGAATCCCAGTTCGCCCCGATTATTTTTCTAGGTTAATCAGCACCATACCCCTGCTCGTGGGTTTCACCGAAGTGGTAAACGTCTGAGACCTGAATCAGTTCGGGCTTTCCTCCCACATTAAGCTGACACGCCGCGATAAAACCGGAATACTGTTAAAGCGGCGTTAGACTCAACTCACTCACTCATGTTACGTTAACTTTCTTTTTTCAGCAAGCGGTCTCAAATGTTTCATGTGTGAAAGTGGAGACTTGAAGACCCCCAATTTCGACTGCCCCGCTGAGGGACAAGTAGCGTACCCTAAAACCCCTATGGCTCCCTGCAACGGCAAATGCTACATCAGAACAAAGGGCGGAGAGGGCAACGGTGAGCATCATACACCTGTCTGTTTGTGTGTGTAGGGAGTAGAGACGGGCTTTACGCCGCTCTCGACAAGACTACTGGCGCATTACAGATGAGTAAACTGGGAAGGGGCCAGAAAATATACCCGTGTAATAACGTGAAGTGAAGTAGGGTTTAAAGTCGCGTCCACACCTGTGTGTGTGCATGTGTCTGCTTGTACTAGTCCGGACTAATGCCGATTTTGTAGTGCTAGAACATTAAGATACAATGCCGCAGCTTAACATGAATACCCCACTCTGACACATATACCAACTCCGATCCGACCAGTCCTTGTGTTTAGCCCCTTAATGCCGAGTGCCAGGCATGGTAACAACAAGTACCATCTTCTAACGTCTTTTGGTATGACGCAGCCGGAGATCGAACCCCCGGCTTTACGCTCCCCGGGCGGACGCTCAACCTCTAGACCACGGAGGCGTACCCGTGTAATGAATCCATGGCAGATGTATGAGTGAGTTAAAGCGTTCGCTCGGGTTCGATTCCCGACATGGGTACAATGTGTGAAGAAAATGTCTGGTGTCCCCAGCCGAGATATTGCTGTTACATGGCTAAAAGCGGCGTAAAACGATATTCACTCACTATCTAATGGGACATTGTATTCAAGGGCTAACAAAACACAAAATCCAAGGTGTTTGAATAACTGTATTGCTTGTTGTTTCTTTAAAAGTAACGTCGCATAAAGCAACATTACAGCTATCTGCCGGCGGTCTGTAAATAATACGAGGACACTACAGTGGTTGATGTTATGACCAACGATCCACGCGGTCGGGATACGATGACACGTGATTAGCCAAATCACTTTGTTTGACCACCAATCCGTATAGTCACCCTAACAACAAGCATTAATTGGTTGCAGGGGATCCGTTCTAACAACGGAATAATTGTATTACCACATGCAATCACATGATCACAATTTGTCTATCTTCTTCAGCGTCGATACACCGAGGTTGTCTGTCTACGAAATGGCTGCGGAAGTACCTAAAGGACGGATGTGACGTATTGGGCAGCGACATCTGGTGTTTTTGTTCGCAAACTGGTTGCAATGGGAGACGACTCGGGGAGTGGTTCCCCATCATCTAGGTGTACACGGGACAACGATTTCGTGATTTACTGGACTTGTATTGAACAAGGACATTACAGTTAAGCATGATGTAACCAGAATCTTGTGAATCTGAAAAGATTTTTAATGGGTTTAGTAAATGAAGAAACGTATTTATTCTCGGTTCCAAGGATCTTTTGTTGGGACTTTCATCCCAGAACCACGGCTTTGTACGTGGTCGTGACCTGGGCAGCGTCCTTACGTCGCGAGATGATGTACTACAGACCCTGGTGATGACGAGGTGGGGTGTGAATGGTGCAAGCTTTCATCAACAAATTCAAGCATTTTAAGACACGGCTTGGGTTGGGATTGTTTTACAAAAACACTGTGTTCCACTTCTGGATTTATCAAAACATATATATTCTTCGCAACTTATGCTGAATGACCTGCAAAAACACAATGTGTGCGGCTGCTCCTTTCATAGATAAAAACATATTGTGTGTGTGTGTGTGTGTGTGTGTGTGTGTGTGTGTGTGTGTGTGAAGGATTCACTGAAAAATACTGTCCCTGTCAAAAGAGAGAGAGAGAGAGAGAGAGGGGGGGGGGGGGGGGGGTTACAATTGTATTGTCGTAGGCTTGCATTTGCATGCTATTAAGTTTGCTCGTGAAGATCCGGGGCTCGTGAAGATCCGGATCCGGGGCAACCCATGCTTGTCGTAAGAGGCGACTCACGGAAGCGCTTTGTCAGGCTTGGTTGCTGCATGTCATCGTGTCCCAATGTACGTAGAGTGCCACGTTAAACAAAAAATAAAAAACTATTAAGTTTACTTAAATGATCCTTCCGGTTTATCAAGGATTTGGCGTCTAACAAAAGCCGGCTTCTCACGTGGTCTGGGTCTAAATGTGAACTGTTAATGTTAACAAATGCCTGGGTTCTTAGTGGAGGAAACAGAAGTAGTATTTATGATACACGTGTTCAAATGTAATGGAAAGAAATCATAACAGGACATACTCTCTTGTCAAACGTTGCACTTAGACCCTTCCTTCGATAGGTGCGTGTTTTCCACAGAGAAAATATCAGTAACACTTTTACTCTAACCCGGAAGTTAAAAGCGGCGTTAAAACCAAACTCACTCACTCTAACCCGGAACGACGTATAGCGTTTGCCATAATCACGGATTATAAAAAATACAAAAGCTTTTTTACCATGCAGGACATTCTGTGTAGAACGCCTGCCTCTGTCACACACTCTGGTAATGTATTGACGATGTCGTGCCTGTCAGCGTTTACCATCTCTGTGTGTATTATCACCGGCAGCGGGGGGAATCTCCCCCCGGAGCAACAGCGAGGGCTTTGTGTAGAAGGGACCTATTTAATATCTGTGGAGAGAAGTTGAAACTTTTGTTTGAGCTATTTGTCACTGTTCCAAGTGTCATACAAATTCTATTCTCTGAAAGACGCAACCTATATATTTAACAGAACAGAAAACAATTACCGTATTCGCCGTATTAAGAACCCTGCTCTAATAAGCGCCCCCTAATCAACATCCAAGTAATCTCTATTAGCGCCTCCTACTAAGACCGACAATTGACGTGACAGTCCATATAAACCTTTGTATATTGCATATTTCCTATACAGAACAGGAGCGCAGAACGTATATTTGCCTCGTAGCACCGAAGTAGTCTACGTTTTACAACGTTTGAACTGAGTTCGTTACCGCCTATATCTGTAGAAGCGCATTCCCCCAATAGAACTGCCTTAAGCGCGCTTATTACTGCGAATACGGTACATGTATTAGAGGTAGGTCGTTTCCCACTGCAGACGTCTGAGTTAATGTTAGCGCTACAGTGGTTGTATTTCGACCCTGTATTTGTATGATAATGATGTTACCCGGTAGTTCAACAGAATCATTCAGCAACCTTTTCTTTTCTTACGTGAACATATTATCTCAGATCGATAATCAATATTCTTCACCATGATCACAGCAAGGAAGAGGAAGAACACACGTGTCGGTCGGGCAGGCTAGAATATCTTACCGGGGCTTCTCGTGCAGGAAGTATTCGACTTGACTTACATTATGAGCACGTGTTAATTTCAAATTTGAAAGAAACCCCTGACGCTGCAAAATAGAAAGATCATGTAAAACTCTGTGTGTTATAACCAGCGCCCGGATTGAGCTTTGAGGGTTACCTATAATACATTGCCCAATGAGTGAGTGAGTGAGTATGGTTTTACGCCGCTTTTAGCAATATTCCAGCAATATCACGGCGGGGGACACCAGAAATGGGCTTCACACATTGAACCCACGTCGGGAATCAAACCCGGGTCGGCGTGACGAGCGAACGCTTTAACCACAAGGCTACCCGACCGCCCCTTGCCAAATGAAGCGAAGGTTTGTTCAGTGTCTCTGTCTGTCTGTCTGTTTGTTGTTTAACGCCGCACTCAGCGATATTCCAGCTATATGACAACGGTCTGTAAAAAATCGAGTCTGGACCAGACAATCCAGTGATTGACATCATGAGCATCGATCCACACAATTGGGATCGAAGACATGCATCAACCAAGTCAGCGAGCCTCACCACCGATCCCTTTAGTTGCCACTTTTCAGTGTAATGAAACAGGAGTGATATGAAAGAAAGGGTTGTATGCTACTCAAAAGAAGTTAAAGTTTCATCCGATTCTTTCATATGAGGGGCGGTCGGGTAGCCTAGTGGTTAAAGCGTTCGCTCGTCACGCCGAAGACCCGGGTTCGATTCCCGACATGGGTACAATGTGTGAAGCCTATTTCTGGTGTCCCCCGCCGTGATATTGCTGGAATATTGCTAAAAGCGGCGTAAAGCCATATTCACTCACTCACTCACTCTTTCATATGAAGGAATCGATTGTTCCTTAACTTCTTTTGAGTGGAATGTATGCTGAGTATAACATAGTAAGGATGCGAGGTATATCCGGCAGTGAGCTACACATATTTGTGTTTATGAAGACGGATATTTAGCTAAACCATAAGTTGTTACAACGCAGTAAAGGACAAAAGAGATATTTTGACAGTTTATCTAAAATGGTTATACTGTTTGCGTGGGTGAGTGAGTGAATGACTATTGCTTAACGCTGCATCAGCAATGTTGCAGCTGTTCGCGGCGATATGTTGTCATAATTAGATCGATAACGATACATCGGTATATCAAATAGAGAGTGGATAACGACATATGGGAATATTATATAGATAGTTGGTAAGGGTGATTAACAAAGGCTTATGAAGATGAAGAGTACTTTTGTTACACAGTGAAACCTCGTTAATCCGGACTATTGTTCATAGTGAAATCGTTTGGATTAAAGAATGTCCGGATTAATGAATCACCGGCAATTAGTTATGTCCGTCAACATTAAAAGAATAAACTGCAAGTGATTCCATGGCATTTGATGGCTAACCAAGCAGTTCTTTTTACGTTTATGTTTCCATAAAAGGAAACGACTAATGTTTATGATTAGCAGATAATGGAATGGGTGGGCCTTGAGTTGTGTAATTGATGTAATGATTTGGCAAGGGCGGATCCATCAAAAAGGGAAGGGCACAAAATATCACAATCTCTTCTCATAAGTATTGACATCAATATGTTTTGCCCTTATGGAGATATAAACGTAAAACCCGGCCTACTCTTAGCCTATATTTCTGCTACGCGGATTTACCCAATATGTACACCGGCCTTAACGTTTATACGGGGTGTTCGGGTTAACGGGGTGTCCGGATTGGCGACGTTTCACTGTAGTAGCATTTCCTCCAGTTGTTTATACTGAGGTGGTAAGTAAATGTTGTTTTACGCCAAAGTCAGAATTAGTCCGCTCTGTCACAGCCGCATTTCAATTAAACCAATCTTAATTTAAACATCTTTTAATCTGGTAGATGCTTTCTCTTCTCGCATATCTGATCGGATTTTATTGAGATTGGTCTGTTATGAAATCTGGGACAGGCAAACCGGTGGGGGGTGGCCCGAGGAACATTGAGTGAGTGAGTGAGTGAGTTGGGTTTAACGCCACTTTTAACAGTATTCCAGTTATATCGCGGCGTGTCAGCTTAATGTGGGAGGAAAGCCCGAAGTGATGCAGGTCTCTGACGTTTATCACTTCGGTGAAACCCACGCCCGAGGAACATTGACGCTACCGGAGTGCGATCAAACCTAATTAATCTTGTTTGTTTGTGTGTTGTTTAACGTAGCACTCAGCAATATTCCAGCTTTATGACGGAGGTCTGTAAATAATCGAGTCTGGACCAGGCAATCCAGTGATTGATATCATGAGCATCTATACAACTGGGATACGATAACATGCATCAACGAAGTCAGCGGGCCTTACCTCCCGATCCCGTTAGTCGCCTCTTACGACAAGCATAGTTTCTGAAGACCTATTCTACCCCGGATCTTCACGGGTTCCCAATTAATCAACCAGGTCACACAATGTGACCACACTGTCGGATTGTTTTTATCTGTTACTTTTTTTGTTTGTCAAGTGTATATATAGTCTGTAAATAAATTTAATACGATACTGTATGTTGTTCCAACACTGTCGGTCGCGTCTGTGGAGTAGTGGGTAGAGCGTCTGGTCCGCGTCATACCAAGAAACGTTAAAAGCTGGTACTTGTTGTTACCCTGCCTGGCGCTCGGCATTAAAGGGGCTAAAACAAGGACTGGTCAGCTCGGAGTCAGTATACTGCGTCTGAGTGGAGTATCAATGTTAAAACTGCAGCCTGGCATCTAGGTGGGCTAGCACTATAAAACCGACGTAAGTCTAGACTAGTACAAGCACGCCCCCTCCCCCCACCCCACGCCGACCACCCACGTCGCTATGTAAGTGCAATAATCTTGAACGCAGCGTTGAACCCCAGGTCACCTCACCTCTGAAACTGTCCCCGACTTGTTCATAGTGTCTGTGTAGATTATATCATTACTCTGCAGAGCTTGTTTATTTTGTTTAGTAAAATAATAGTAGATTTGCAGAAAGTTGAAATTGTACTTTTTGTATTTTCACGTCTATTTTCTTCAAATGTTCAAATGTGTATATATTTCGACTTGTTGATGTTTTGTACAATAAAAACGTTCATTACAACCCTTGTTTTGTTGACATTCCTGTGGGTCCTTCTGCGCATGTCAGCACCTATGCAGTGGGGCTGTTCCACTACCGAGGTAAGTCACCAGATGTATTGCAGATGTGTGACAAGGAAGGACTTCCGCTCGTATCCCAAACTCCTAAAGTTATATACTATGCATTGCCGCTCAATCCTTTAATTATATATATATATATATGTTAGAGTGGATACGCGCGTAAGTCTTATCGGATGTTATTTTTATTCTATAATAAACTAAATATCAATCATATTCTTAAACACTCCTTGAATTTCACCATGTACTGGACAATCTGCGACAAAAAGAACGTTTACGTACGCTTCAGTGACTATTTAGGAAATAACTTGTAGTTAAAGTTTTTAGAACCGTATTTATATATCTACAGCCATACATATGTGGTGTCAAGAATAGATTCCTAGCAACCTATGCTGGTCATATGCACCAACGTAATGGATCGGGTGGTCCGACTTGTTGGTTGATTGCGTACCCAAGATGTGGTGGATTGTTGCCCAAAATATCAATCACTGGATTGTCTGGTCCAGACTGGATTATTTACACATGAACACACACTGCATACAGCAGGGAGTGTTCTGAATGATGGTGTAAACATTCTGGAAACACATTGCTTGTCAACAAAATCAAAACAAACATATTTATCAGAGGAGTCATTTAATATTTACACAATTTAACAGTGTACTTTATTCAAATCACCAAAGAACCTTCAATAGTTAGGAGGGATAATTCTAGGGTAGCTATAGTTATTTAAAAAAAATTAACAACAAAGATTTATTGCAACTCTGTATGAAGCAAGTCAGATATGGCATTAGCATCTCCCACTGTTGTGCCCTACCAGTCACTTATTCATAATGGTAAAAAAAAATCAGAAAAACCTTTGTGGCTCAGGTCATCTTGACCCAGATATGAGCCAGTACTTGATAGTGAGTGAGTGAGTATGGTTTTACGCCGCTTTTTGCAATATTCCAGCAATATCACAGCTGGGGACACCAGAAATGGGCTTCACACATTGTACCCATGTCGGGAATCGAACCCGGGTCTTCGGTGTGACGAGCGAACGCTTTAACCACTAGGCTACCCGACTGCCCCCAGTACTTGATGGACAGGTTTCTTTCTCTAACGATTTGTATTAAATTGTTTAACACAGATGGCGTGTTGAGAACTGATGTTCATTCCAATGTTTCTCGAATTTGTAATTCAAAATAGCTGCAGAAACATCAGGTATTTTTCAAAACATAAAATGTGGCGCAAACCTTCCTGAATGATATGGTGAATTTGAGGTGTTTTCATCTACAATTATCCCACTGATTGGTAATATCCATTCAAATCTTAACATGAACAAATATTGTACAATTAATTTTTTACAACTTGTACACAATTAGATGAAAGAAATAGTTTTTTAGTTGCCTCATAGCTATATTCATCATCTTGGTATTGTCGGTATTTCATGGCACTGGCGTAATTGTGTTGTGCTTCACGATACATAAACCGGTCACAAACATGGACCTTTGGTGTGATGGGCGAACACTTTAACCACTAGGCTACCCCACCCCACCCAAATGCTTAGTATAAAGCATGGGACGATGATTTCAGCTCCTGGTGTAACCCACGTAGTAGGGATGATTCTCTATAATGTAGAATGTACATGAAGAAATGACGACCAAGGACAAACACCTGTTCGTCCAATGGAATAGATCCGAAGGACTGTATATGCACTGTCACCATGACAACTCGACCTCCTGATCCCAGCTTGGTAGGTCTCAATGTCATACAAGTTCATCATTGCAGCGGCAGATTGTCAAATATTGTAGAGGTGAAGCAGATGCTGTCAATGTTTCTTAAATGTCCTGAACCAGAATGATGATGGTTGCAATAAGAATTCTATTTTGATCTCCTCGTCAAACTCTTTCATGCTCTGGTGCTTTGGCCACTGTCTCCCCTAGTTCCTCAAGAAGTTCTCGTCTGTAATCGTCAAAGTCGCCGTCGATCTCGCTAATGCCTCGGTTCTCTACAACCCACAGTTGACAGTCTGTCTCTCGGATGAGACGCTCGTCGTGACTCACAATGATCACACCTGCAGAACAAGAGCATGTCATGAACATTAACAAGAGCATGTCATGAACATTAACAAGAGCACGTCATGAACATTAACAAGAGCATGTCATGAACATAAACAAGAGCATGTCAAGAACATTAACAAGAGCATATCATGAACATTAACAAGAGCATGTCATGAATATAAACAAGAGCATGTCATGAACATTAACACCATGTCATGAACATTAACAAGAGCATGTCATGAATATAAACAAGAGCATGTCATGAACATTAACAAGAGCATATCATGAACATTAACAAGAGCATGTCATGAATGAATCAGAGTAAATCATGAATGTAAACTGGAGTATATCATGAACTCTAACCAGAGTAAATCATGAATGTAAACTGGAGTATATCATGAACTCTAACCACAGTATATCATGATCGCAAATCAGGGGAAATCATGAATGTAAACTGGAGTATATCATGAACGCAAATAAGATTTAATTATGTATGTAAGTCAGAAAAAAAACAGTTTCTGTGTCAGGTTTCTAGTTCCTACAGAGAAGGTTCTGAACCAAAGATTAACAAATTTGCCTATCTCCTACCAAATACCTCTAGTGAAGGTATGCACTCAGGACAGACAATCTATAATTTCTCATAGTTCATAGCTTATACTCTAAAGCGAAGATTAACAAATTTGCCTATCTGTTACCAAATACCTCCAGTGAAGGTATGCACTCAGGACAGACAATCTATAATTTCTCATAGTTCATAGCTTATACTCTAAAGCGAAGATTAACAGACTTGCCGATCTCCTATCAAGGTATGGCTACGGCTCTGGTCTTACAACCTTAATTCACTCGGGCCAAACATAAGTAATATCTTGTATAGAATCAATGTCCCATACCTCCAGTGAACTCCCGAATAGCATCTGCAAGAGCATCAATGGACTCAATGTCAAGGTTGTTAGTGGGCTCATCCTGCAAGTAGAGTTTTGAACATGAGACTAACACTTCACATCTCAGACAGACAGATGGTGCTGCCTATAGTCATGTGAAGTTTTTACAACTGTACATAATAACCAACCATCATTACTGTTTTTGTTAGTTTGTTGTTTAACACTGCACTCAGCAATATTCCAGCTACATGAAGGCGTTCTGTAAATTATTGAGTCTGGACCAGACAATCCTATGATTGATATGAGCATCGTTCCACGCATCAACCAAATCAGCGAGCCTTGACCGCCCGATCCTGTTTTATGACAAGCATGGGTTGCATCGCCTATTGTGATAAGCATTGGTTGCTGATGACCTATTCTAACCTCGATCTTCATGGGTCCCTCATTACTGAGAGAGATTTATTAGATACATTGGGTTTGGTCTGTCAGAAATGGCTCCTAAGATGGATAATCTCTCCTCATAAGATTCAAACACACACAGCACACACTGGCAGGTCTGTAGAAACCATCAAGAGCAGTTAGGCTTCATAACTTTGTAATATGTTCATTGTTTGAACTCCTGAGGTCCTGTATATAGGCATCTGCGTGAGGGAAGGGAGTTAACTGACTGTAAAAGTTCAGTTTCCACCCTTGCCAAACTAGGCTGGAATTTCTAGGCTCGAACATAGCGCCACCAGTGAGTATGAAGAGTTATGTCCCTTCTATGCCCCTCCTATTGACCAATCAGATTCCACCTTTCATATCACTTGCATTTGCCTCAAACAAAATGGCAGCACCCAGTCAAGACAATCTGATCGAGGATCAAGATATATATTGTAATAAAACAGGTCTTACTTTGCAAAGCGCATCAAATCATGTGAGCACCTTGATTAAAAACATGAAAAGACTTGGAAAATATTTGTCAACGCCCAGATGACGGTACACATGCTTTGCATATCCTTTGCACATGTTGATTTCGTTACACAATTTTGATTGGACTATGCATGGACTTGTTTGTCCAGCCAAAACATAACTCCTATGATTCCAGCCTAGGTTGGCAAGGGTGGAAACTGGACATTTACAGTCAGTTAACTCCTGCCTCGGGAAGATGGTGCATAGGTGTTTGCTGAAACTGTATTTGAATCTAAGGTACCTGCAGATTTGGATTTCAACACTTAATTTGAGGGGGCTCAGATTATGTTAGAGACTAACACAGAATTGGGTGTTCATTAACTTCCTTGGAGTAGTATATTTTCTTTCAGTCACTGCTTCAAGATATAAAATAAGTTCTACAGAAGGAAGATATCAAATGTACTTGTTCTATACATGTCATTGTATCCCAATTGTGTAAAACACTGCTCATGATGTCAATCACCATTATTCAATGACTGCTGTCATATAATTGGAATCTGGGTCTGGGATTACACAACAAAAAAACCTGGCAATATTCAATGATCTCACCAAGATGAGGACGTCCGGGGCCCTGCAGGAGAGTTCCGCCATCGCCACCCTGGCCTTCTGACCGCCGGACAGATCGCTGTTCTTGATGGTGTGACCGTGACTCGCCAGGCCGAACTTCCCCAGGATCTTCCTGGCATCCTGGTACTGCATGTTGAACAGCCGCTGCAAGAGTCAAACACACAGCTGCAGTCACATGGTAGTTACAACAGTGTAACAAGGGAGATAACTCTTATTCCTGGATCAGTTTCTATTTCAACGTCAGACAATCCAGTGATTGACATCATGAGTATCGATCAAAGCAATTGGGATACGATGACATACATCAACCAAATCAGCGAGCCTGACCACTCGACCCCGTTAGTCGCCTCTTACGACAAGCATAGTCGCCTTCTAGGGCAAGCATGGGTAGCTGAAGATCCATTCTACCCCGGATCTTCACGGGTCTTTACATGTGAATCAATGTTGACAGTTGTTGGTATAGTATTACTCTGTGTTGTATAAGAATGATGCACCGACTCGTTGATGTGAGGATGATCAAGAATAACACTGGGAGGAAAGCCAGAAGTGATGCACGTTGTGGACGTGTACCACATGCTGAACCTCTTGAGGGTTTGATGGCGTCATATAGTCAGTCAGTCATGAGTGAGTGAGTGAGTGAGTATGGTTTTACGCCACTTTTAGCAATATTCCAGCAATATCACGGCGTGGGACACCAGAAATGGGCTTCACAAATAGTACCAATGTCGGGAATCGAACCCTGGTCTTCGGCGTGACGAGCGAACGCCTTAACCACTAGGCTACCCGACCGCCCCCTTCCCAAATAGAGCACTAGTGGACCAGACCACCAGGGTTTTACCTTGACTTACAAAAGTGGAAGCTGAAAATAGTGCTAGACCTGTCATTAGCCAAACTCCTGCTGAGTTCTATTTTTGCTGAGGTGAGGTGAGGTGAGGTGAGGTGGTGAGGTGAGGTGAGGTGAAATGGGGTTTAATATTGCAGTCAAGATAATAATAGAGTGATGTGCATGTATGTGTGTGTTTGTGACTGCTTGTACTAGTACAGACTAATGACAGGTTTATAGTGCTCGCCCACTGACATATCATTCCGCACTTTAGGAAGGATGCCCCACTCAGACAGAGTATACTGACTCCGGGCCAACACGTCCTTGCGTTTCCCCCTTAATGCAGAGCGCCCGGCATGGTAACACCAAGTTCCATGTTTTAAAGTCTTTCAATATGAGAGTCAGCAGATCGAACTACTGACCTTCTCCTTTCTGAGCAGACAGTCTGTCCACTACACCACATAGGCGAATGTATCTAATCCTGCCATATGAGTGAGAGAGTGGTGGCGTGCACCTATTAATTTGTGAATGCTTAGTTCTATTCCTGTTGAGTGATCCAACATTTTTTATCTCTTGTACTGTGGACCCTGATCTGCCCCGACCACCATGGATCAAGTATGATCCAGTATGAACAGAACTAGTATGAGATGTGTTTACCTGAAGATATTCCACGGGCGTCTCCTCCAGGTTAAGCTGGTCAGCTGAGTGTTGATCATACTTCCCTATCCTCTGCAATAAACAAGTCAGTGAGTCAGTGAGTGAGTAAGGTTTAATGTTGCTTTAAAAAGTATTCCTGTTATATCACGGCGTGTCAGCTTGATGTGGGAGCAGAGTGATGTAGATATTAGAGGGTTACCACCTACTTCTTGTGAGGTGAGTTGAATTGGGGTTCAAGATTATTGCACTTATATAACATCCTTGTTTTTAGCCCCTTAATGCTGAGTGACAGGCAACGTAACAACAAGTACTATCTTTTAATGTCTTTTGGTATGACACAACCGGGGATCGAACCCCGCGCTGCTCTACCACTAGACCACACAGGCAGTGACCTACTTCTTGTGACCTGCCACCAGAGCCAAATGCCACACCAAAACAATACTATTAAAGTTATTTCCAAATGTATCTTGTCCTCCTCCTGTGTCTTCGATGGATTAAAAATAAACAAGATACAACAACAAAATGCAAACATTAACTGTTAACTCTTACTGGTTGTCCAGGGCCCACTTGCGTAAAGCGATCTTAGCGCTAAGACTATCGTAAGCCTATGTTAAAGTATGGAAGTTACAATCATCTTAGCGCTAAGACTATCGTAAGCCTATGTTAAAGTATGGGAGTTACGTTCATCTTAGCGCTAAGACTATCGTAAGCCTATGTTAAAGTATGGGAGTTACAATCATCTTAGCGCTAAGATCCAGTGGGTCCAGGATAAGTAGAACCAACTCACAAAACATATTTGAGACAAGTAGGCAGTGAACAGAAGTTGGGCAAACATATTTGGTTTGTTGTTTAACGCCACACTCAACAATATTCCAGCTATATGATGGCGGTCTGTATTTAATCGAGTCTGGACCAGACAATCCAGTGATTGACATCATGAGCATCGATCCACACCATTTGGATCGATGACATGCATCAACCAAGTCAGTGAGCCTGACCACCTGATCCCTTTAGTCGCCTCTTACGACAAGCATAGTCGCCTCTTACGACAAGCATAGTCGCCTTGTTACAAGTAGAGAGGGTGTACACATGTTGTGCACATGCAGGTCATGAAGATGATATTAACTACACTCCCGTGGACACATCACATAAACATATACTATTATCTGCTACTGAACTTGCCATTAGACAGGACACGCACATATCCTTCGTAATACTTGTCGTGGACCACCCGCCTTTCTTCACAATGGTACTTGACCTCACACAGTCAAAAGGGGTTAATTGCTCAACTTATCCTGGCTTACTATGAATAATATTTGATCAAATGCCTATGTAGGCTGGCCATGTCATAACAACGAGAACAAAGTCTTAACGCTAATCATCCCGCACCTTATCATAGATGACAACTTTATGCCATGTCATAACAACGAGAACAAAGTCTTAACGCTAATCATCCCGCACCTTATCATAGCTGACAACTTTATGCCAAGTCAACAAAATATAGTACACAACTTTTATTTCTATTTCAAACTACACAAGCTGATTGGTCAGCAATGAGTCTGTATTAATAAAATCCAAATAGCATGGCCTCAGATTTGTTTTACTGTGTATTGACACAAGATCACAGTCTTCTAAACTAAAAAAGATTCAGGTATGTACAAACACTATTTCAAACTTACCAATCGATGGTTCTTCCTTATTTCTCCTTGTTGCTGAAATCAAGAACAACATCAATTGTAGAGTAGGAGACGGTTTTATTAGTGAAGGAGATTGTATAATTTTGAGAGTGTGGTATTTCTTTGTTGTTTAGCACAGCAGTTTGCCATGTTCAAGCTATGATATCAGTCTGTAAATAACCGAGTCTGGACCAGACAATCTAGTGACTGATATTATGAGTGAGTGAGTGAGTATGTTTTACGCCGCTTATAGCAATATTCCAGCAATATCACGGTGGGGGACACCAGAAATGGGCTTCACACATTGTACCCATGTCGGATCTCGAACCTGGGTCTTCGGCGTGACGAGCGAACGCTTTAACCACTAGGCTACCCGACCACCCCGACCACAATCACGGCAATATAGGAGGAGGAGGACAATGAAGTCCACGAGTCTGACCACTCGCCTCTTATGACAAGCATAGGTTTCTGGGGATCAATTCTAAGCTTGAATCCTCATGGAGACACTGAATGACAAGAATGTATGGCAAAATAGAAAGAAGCATAATGTTTTTTGGCCCAGCCTGCGTCATTTTGAACTCTCAAATCTGAAAGTGGTGTGTCTTCTATCCGGTTAGGCACATAGCTGAAATCAAGCTACCAAATCAAGCCTGTTTAAAGATCTGGGAGAGGGGGACTTGGGAGAGGTGGATCCCCAAAAAGGGGAACTGGAGAAGTGGACCTGGGAGAGGTGTATCAGAGATAAGGGGACCTGGAGAGGTAAATCTCAGAGAAGCGGACCTGGGAGAGGTGGATCAGAGATAAGGGGACCTGGAGAGGTAAATCTGAGAGAAGCGGACCTGGGAGAGGTGGATCAGACATAAGGGGACCTGGGAGAGGTGGATCAGACATAAGGGGACCTGGGAGAGGTGGATCAGACATAAGGGGACCTGGGAGAGGTGGATCAGACATAAGGGGACCTGGGAGAGGTGGATCAGACATAAGGGGACCTGGGGAGGGGAGGTAAATCTGAGAGAAGTGGACCTGGGAGAGGTGGATCTGAGAGAGTTGGACCTGGGAGAGGTGCATCCGAGAGAAGGGGACCTGGGAGAGTTGGATCTGAGAGAAGGGGGATTCATCTTTTATATGAAGTCTTTTGTTATGGCAAAATGAACCTACCGGCTGTATCTCCTTTGTCAACAGCTTGAGGAATGTACTCTTGCCCACTCCATTGGGGCCGACTATTGCAACTGAAATAACAAAACATTACAATGCATAAACAAAACAGGCATGGACACAGTCACTAGTCTTGTTCGTTTGTTCGTGCGTTCTTTCGTTCGTGAGTGTGTGTTTTTACGCCGCTTTTAGCAATATTCCAGCAACATCACGACAGGGGACACCAGAAACAGGACAAGTCTCATGAAATCAGAAAGGATGTGTAGTATTTATCCTAAAGTCTACTATTCCAGAATGACTGTTTGCTGCACTTAACTCATGTCGCCTGTGCCTGCAGTAATAACAAAACTGAAAATGTTCTCACAAAACAAATGATGATATGTTTACTTAGGATCAAATTGATAAACAAAGGTAAAATGTCTTCTTATCACATTCAATGACTGCATGTCAACAAAACCTGTCAGCATATTTTCAGCAGCAACAGTGGCCAGTCAACATCCAACAGTAAAGACAGACAAGTTCAGAGACAAGTGAAAATGAAACATAGATTTTTTCCAAAATCTAGCAGTCTTACATGAACCAACCACAACTCAGAATGGTCAATATCAATAGTATCTACAAGATGTACAGAGGAGTAAATACTGTTATCACACACTAGGAGTATTCGACACTCACCAGGGATGTCAGTTTCATGTCATACAAATAATCAATAGCTCCCCCCAAAAGTGAGTGAGTGAGTGAGTATGGTTTTATGCCGCTTTTAGGATATCCCAGCAATATCACGGCAGGGGACACCAGAAATGGCCTTCATACATTGTACCCATGTGGGGAATCAAACCCGGGTCTTCAGCGTGACGAGTGAACGCTTTAACCACGAGGCTCCCCGACCGCCCCCTCCCTGAAAAGAGCACAAGTGCACCAGACCACCAGGGTTTTACCTTGACTTACAAAAGTGGAGGTCCAGGGGAGACCAATAATTAATTTTAAGGGTCCTGTAGAATACTGTACATTTTGATAATTACTTTAGAGCCTGGAAGGAATCAATGATCATGTGGACAGTGGTCATGATTAATGGATGAAATGACAGACACCTACAAGTATACAAAGGTACAGAGGTAGTTTTACATTAACAATAATGTGATTTCATGCAATCCATTATCACCCATCAGGACCCTCATGATTTTAGAGTTATCCCCCTTTGTTTCAGGTACTTGAGTCCTTGAAACGGACTCGAATCTGGCTTAACCCAATCCGTTATCCCAATACCCAACCACACCATCTGACCTCGGTCCAAGCACTATCAAGGTCTGTTTAACCAAGGGAGGGGAGACAGTTATCAGAACTTGGATCGGGGCAAAATGGCAAATGAGCAGCCTTGGGTGCAAACAATTCAAGGGACATAACTCCCTCTTCTCACCTCTGGATGACATATCAATACCAAAGTCCAGGTTCTTGAAAAGTGACCTCTGTCCATCATAGCCAAATGTGACATCTGAAATACACAACAGCAAACACTTTAAGTACAGATGACACCATCGGCGATCCTTTATTGTTCGTTTACACATCCTTCATCACCTGTGAGGGGCGGTCGGGTAGCCTAGTGGTTAAGGCGTTCACTCGTCACGCCGAAGACCCGGGTTCGATTCCCGACATGGGTACAATGTGTGAAGCCCATTTCTGGTGTCCCCCGCCGTGATATTGCTGGAATATTGCTAAAAGCGGCGTAAAACCATACTCACTCACTCACTCATCACCTGTGAATAGACACAGCTGCAATACAAGTGAGTGAGTATGGGTTTACGCCGCTTTTAGCAATATTCCAACAATATCATGACTGGGGACACCAGCAATGGGCTTCAACCATTGTTTCCATTTAGGGATTCGAACCCTGGTCTTTGGTGTTACGAGCGAACGCTTTAACCACTGGGCTGCCAGATAACCTCAGCTGCAAGGCAGTGAAACAGTGCATGAATGAGGTGTGAACACTATGATTGCCTACCATTAATGGTAAGGTGCAATGTGGCTTAATGTCACATTCAAGATCATTGCACTTAAGCCTATATAGCGATGTGCATGTGTGTGTAACTGCATATTCTAGCCAGGACTAATGCCTGTTTTACAGAGCTAGCCCACTGAGATACCATGCCACAGTTAAACATGGATACCCCACTCAGACAGAGAGCGCCAGGCTGGCTAAGAACAAGTACTACCTTGGAACGTCTTTTGGTGTGATGCTGCCAGGAATTGACCACAGACTTTTCGCTCTCCGGACAGATGCTTTAACAAGTTTATCAACTTGATAAAGCATTGTGTAGTGTGTGAGTGTGTCTGCGTGTACTCGTCCAGATTGATGCCAATTTATAGTGCTAGCACACAGAGATACCATGCCACAGTTTAACATGAATACCGCCCTCAGACACAGCATTCTGATTCTGAGCCGACCAGTCCTTGTTTCAGCCCCTTAATGCCCAGCACCAGCAAGGTCAACAAGTACCATCTTTTAACGTCTTTTGGTATGACGCGGCCAACTTCCGATCTCCCCTGGTGGATGCTCCACCACTAGACCACGGACGTGGTAAATTATGTCAAGCAAGAAACATTGCTATCTGTGTGATGCAAACTGAACCCTCAATGGTCTGAGGACATTCTGGGCACCCAGTATAGGTGTGAGTGAGTGAGTTGGGTTTAATGCCACTTTTAACAGTATTCCAGTTATACTGCGGCATGTCAGCTGAATGTGGGAGGAAAGCCCGAAGTGATGCAGGTCTCAGACGTTTACCACTTCAGTGAAACCCACGAGCACGGGTATGGTGCTGACAAACCTAGAAACATAATCAGGGCGAACCGGGATTCGAACCCACAATCATAGGTTTTTGGCATGCCCAAGGGACGCAACTCCACACAGCGATTCACGCCGCCTTAGACGACTGGGCCACCCGTGCCCCCCCACCTAGTATAGGGGTGAGTGGGTTAGGTTCATATACTCACTGTGCACCCAGTATAGGGGTGAGTGGGTTAGGTTCATATACTCACTCTGCACCCAGTATAGGGGTGAGTTGGTTAGGTTCATATACTCACTGTGCACCCAGTATAGGGGTGAGTGGGTTAGGTTCATATACTCACTGTGCACCCAGTATAGGGATGAGTGGGCTAGGTTCATATAGTCATTGAGCACCAAGTATAGGGGGTGAGTGGGTTAGGTTCATATACTCACTCTGCACCCAGTATAGGGGTTAGCGGGCTAGGTTCATATACTCACTAGGCACCCAGTATAGGGGGTGAGTGGGTTAGGTTCATATAGTCACTGTGCACCCAGTATAGGGGTGAGCGGGCTAGGTTCATATACTCACTCTGCACCCAGTATAGGGGTGAGTGGGTTAGGGTGATATACTCACTGTGCACCCAGTATAGCGGCTGAGATAAGACGGTGAGGTTCATATACTCACTATGGGCACCCAGTATAGGGGCTGAGATAAGACGGTTAGGTTCATATACTCACTATGGGCACCCAGTATAGGGGCTGAGATAAGACGGTTAGGTTCATATACTCACTATGGGCACCCAGGATAGGGGTGAGTGGGTTAGGGTGATATACTCACTATGGGCACCCAGTATAGCGGCTGACATAAGACGGTTAGGTTCATATACTCACTATGGGCACCCAGTATAGCGGCTGAGATAAGACGGTTAGGTTCATATACTCACTATGGGCACCCAGTATAGGGGCTGAGATAAGACGGTTAGGTTCATATACTCACTATGGGCACCCAGTATAGGGGCTGAGATAAGACGGTTAGGTTCATATACTCACTATGGGCACCCAGTATAGGGGTGAGTGGGTTAGGGTGATATACTCACTATGGGCACCCAGGATAGCGGCTGAGATAAGACGGTTAGGTTCATAGACTCACTATGGGCACCCAGTATAGCGGCTGAGATAAGACGGTTAGGTTCATAGACTCACTATGGGCACCCAGTATAGCGGCTGAGATAAGACGGTTAGGTTCATATACTCACTATGGGCACCCAGTATAGCGGCTGAGATAAGACGGTCAGGTTCATATACTCACTATGGGCACCCAGTATAGCGGCTGAGATAAGACGGTTAGGTTCATATACTCACTGTGGGCACCCAGTATAGCGGCTGAGATAAGACGGTTAGGTTCATATACTAACTATGGGCACCCAGTATAGAGGCTGAGATAAGACGGTTAGGTTCATATACTCACTGTGCACCCAGTATAGTGGCTGAGATAAGACGGTTAGGTTCATATACTCACTGTGCACCCAGTATAGTGGCTGAGATAAGACGGTTAGGTTCATATACTCACTTGGGGCACCCAGTATAGTGGCTGAGACGGTTAGGTTCATATACTCACTATGGGCACCCAGTATAGCGGCTGAGATAAGACGGTTAGGTTCATATACTCACTGTGCACCCAGTATAGTGGCTGAGATAAGACGGTTAGGTTCATATACTCACTGTGGGGACCCAGTATAGCGGCTGAGGTAAGACGGTTAGGTTCATATACTCACTATGGGCACCCAGTATAGCGGCTGAGATAAGACGGTGAGGTTCATATTCTCACTATGGGCACCCAGGATAGGGGTGAGTGGGTTAGGTTCATATACTCACTATGGGCACCCAGTATAGCGGCTGAGATAAGACGGTGAGGTTCATATACTCACTATGGGCACCCAGGATAGGGGTGAGTGGGTTAGGTTCATATACTCACTATGGGCACCCAGTATAGCGGCTGAGATAAGACGGTGAGGTTCATATTCTCACTATGGGCACCCAGGATAGGGGTGAGTGGGTTAGGTTCATATTCTCACTATGGGCACCCAGTATAGCGGCTGAGATAAGACGGTTAGGTTCATATACTCACTATGGGCACCCAGGATAGCGGCTGAGATAAGACGGTGAGGTTCATATACTCACTATGGGCACCCAGGATAGGGGTGAGTGGGTTAGGTTCATATACTCACTATGGGCACCCAGTATAGCGGCTGAGATAAGACGGTTAGGTTCATATACTCACTATGGGCACCCAGGATAGGGGTGAGTGGGTTAGGTTCATATACTCACTATGGGCACCCAGTATAGCGGCTGAGATAAGACGGTGAGGTTCATATTCTCACTATGGGCACCCAGTATAGCGGCTGAGATAAGACGGTTAGGTTCATATACTCACTGTGGGCACCCAGTATAGCGGCTGAGATAAGACGGTCAGGTTCATATACTCACTGTGGGCACCCAGGATAGGGGGGCTGAGAGGAGTGGGCTTTGGGAAGGAAAACTTGACGATGTAATCTCGAGGTTTTTGCAGCAACTCTGTCGGCTTCTCCTCCTCAGCGAACATCGACTGCTTCGCCTTGTTCTTTGCCTGCTTCCGCGTCATGACTTCCTTTTGTTTCTCCTCCTACAATGTAACAGTGGGGTATGATGAATATAAACACAGGCAGTGGGGTGTATGATGAATATAAACAGAGGCAGGGGGTGTATGATGAATATAAACAGAGGCAGTGGGGTATGATGAATATAAACAGAGGCAGGGGGTGTGTGATGAATATAAACAGAGGCAGGTGGTTTATGATGAATATAAACAGAGGAAGTGGGGTATGATGAATATAAACAGAGGAAGTGGGGTATGATGAATATTAACATAGGCAGTGGGGTATGATGAATATAAACAGAGGAAGTGGGGTATGATGAATATAAACAAAGGCAGGGAGTGTATGATGAATATAAACAGAGGCAGTGTTGTATGATGAATATAAACAGGCAGTGGGGTGTATGATGAATATAAAAAGTCAGTGGGGTATGATGAATATAAACAGAGGCAGTGGGGTATGATGAATATAAATACAGGCAGGGGTTGTATGATGAATATAAACAGGCAGTGGGGTGTATGATGAATATAAACAGAGGCAGGGGGCGTATGGTGAATATAAACACAGGCAGTGGGGTATGATGAATATAAAAAGGCAGTGGGGTATGATGAATATAAATACAGGCAGGGGTTGTATGATGAATATAAACAGGCAGTGGGGTGTATGATGAATATAAACAGAGGCAGGGGGTGTATGATGAATATAAACAGAGGCAGTTGGTGTATAGTGAATATAAACACAGGCAGTGGAGAGTATGGTGATTATAAACACATTGGCCATGTATCAGTGACCAAGGTCATTCTGCCTTCTTCCCTGACTAGCTACACACTGCCTTCTTCCCTGACTAGCTACACAACGCCTTCTTCCCTGACTAGCTACACACCACCTTCTTCCCTGACTAGCTACACACCACCTTCTTCCCTGACTAGCTACACACCGCCTTCTTCCCTGACTAGCTATACAACGCCTTCTTCCCTGACTAGCTACATACCGCTTTCTTCCCTGACTAGCTACATACCGCCTTCTTCCCTGACTAGCTACACACCGCCTTCTTCCCTGACTAGCTACATACAGCATTCTTCCCTGACTAGCTACACACCACCTTCTTCCCTGACTAGCTACATACCGCCTTTTTCCCTGACTAGCTACACAACGCCTTCTTCCCTGACTAGCTACACAACGCCTTCTTCCCTGACTAGCTACATACCGCCTTTTTCCCTAAATAGCTTCATACCGCCTTCATTCCTGACAAGCTAAACACCACCTTCTTCCCTGACTAGCTACATACCGCCTTTTTCCCTGACTAGCTACACAACGCCTTCTTCCCTGACTAGCTACATACCGCCTTTTTCCCTAAATAGCTACATACCGCCTTCATTCCTGACAAGCTACATACAGCATTCTTCCCTGACTAGCTACATACCGCCTTCTTCCCTGACTAGCTACATACCGCCTTTTTCCCTGACTAGCTACACAACGCCTTCTTCCCTGACTAGCTACACAACGCCTTCTTCCCTGACTAGCTACATACCGCCTTTTTCCCTAAATATCTACATACCGCCTTCATTCCTGACAAGCTACACACCACCTTCTTCCCTGACTAGCTACATACCGCCTTTTTCCCTGACTAGCTACACAACGCCTTCTTCCCTGACTAGCTACATACCGCCTTTTTCCCTAAATAGCTACATACCGCCTTCATTCCTGACAAGCTACATACCACCTTCTTCCCTGACTAGCTACATACCGCCTTCTTCCCTGACTAGCTACACAACGCCTTCTTCCCTGACTAGCTACATACCGCCTTTTTCCCTAAATAGCTACATACCGCCTTCATTCCTGACAAGCTACACACCACCTTCTTCCCTGACTAGCTACATACCGCCTTTTTCCCTGACTAGCTACACAACGTCTTCTTCCCTGACTAGCTACATACCGCCTTTTTCCCTAAATAGCTACATACCGCCTTCATTCCTGACTAGCTACACACCACCTTCTTCCCTGACTAGCTACATACCGCCTTCTTCCCTGACTAGCTACACAACGCCTTCTTCCCTGACTAGCTACATACCGCCTTTTTCCCTAAATAGCTACATACCGCCTTCTTCCCTGACAAGCTACACACCACCTTCTTCCCTGACTAGCTACATACCGCCTTTTTCCCTAAATAGCTACATACCGCCTTCATTCCTGACAAGCTACACACCGCCTTCTTCCCTGACTAGCTACACACCACCTTCTTCCCTGACTAGCTACATACCGCCTTCTTCCCTGACTAGCTACACACCTCCTTCTTCCCTGACTAGCTACATACAGCCTTCTTCCCTGACTAGCTACATACCGCCTTCTTCCCTGACTAGCTACATACCACCTTCTTCCCTGACTAGCTACACACCACCTTCTTCCCTGACTAGCTACACGCCACCTTCTTCCCTGACTAGCTATATACCGCCTTCTTCCCTGACTAGCTACACACCACCTTCTTCCCTGACTAGCTATATACCGCCTTCTTCCCTGACTAGCTACACACCACCTTCTTCCCTGACTAGCTACATACCGCCTTCTTCCCTGACTAGCTACACACCTCCTTCTTCCCTGACTAGCTACATACAGCCTTCTTCCCTGACTAGCTACATACCGCCTTCTTCCCTGACTAGCTACATACCACCTTCTTCCCTGACTAGCTACACGCCACCTTCTTCCCTGACTAGCTACATACCGCCTTCTTCCCTGACTAGCTACATACCACCTTCTTCCCTGACTAGCTACACACCACCTTCTTCCCTGACTAGCTACACACCACCTTCTTCCCTGACTAGCTACACACCACCTTCTTCCCTGACTAGCTACATACCGCCTTCTTCCCTGACTAGCTACACAACGCCTTCTTCCCTGACTAGCTACACACCGCCTTCTTCCCTGACTAGCTACACACCGCCTTCTTCCCTGACTAGCCACATACCGCCTTCTTCCCTGACTAGCTACATACCGCCTTCTTCCCTGACTAGCTACATACCGCCTTCTTCCCTGACTAGCTACACACCACCTTCTTCCCTGACTAGCTACACACCGCCTTCTTCCCTGACTAGCTACATACAGCCTTCTTCCCTGACTAGCTACACACCGCCTTCTTCCCTGACTAGCTACACACCGCCTTCTTCCCTGACTAGCTACATACCGCCTTCTTCCCTGACTAGCTACACACTGCCTTCTTCCCTGACTAGCTACATACCGCCTTCTTCCCTGACTAGCTACATACCGCCTTCTTCCCTGACTAGCTACACACTGCCTTCTTCCCTGACTAGCTACACACTGCCTTCTTCCCTGACTAGCTACATACCGCCTTCTTCCCTGACTAGCTACACAACGCCTTCTTCCCTGACTGGCTACACACCGCCTTCTTCCTTGACTAGTTACATACCGCCTTCTTCTTGGACTGTCCCGAAGCCTTCAGGTCCTTAATCCTCTTCTCCTGCTTCTCGTAATCCTTAATCTGCTCTTTCCGCTTTTGCACAAACATCTTCTTAAAAGCATTGAAGTTGCCACGGTAATAGAAGAGTTTTTGCATGTCCAAGTGGATGATGTCAGTGCACACGTTGTCAAGGAAACTTTGGTCATGTGACACCACAAGCAGGGTCTTCTTCCAAGTCTGCAGGTAGCTGTGACAAGTGAGGGAGATGTTGAGACACTGATCAGTATGCCTTGTTTGTTTGTTTGTTGTTTAATGCTGTTCGATACGATGACATGCATCAACCAAGTCAGCGAGCATGACCACCCGATCCTGTTAGTCGCCTCTTATGACAAGCATAGTCACTTATTGCGGCAAGCAGGGGTTGCTGAAGACCTATTCTACCCTGGATCTTCACAGGTCCTAATTAGTATGAATGGTCACTAATGCTGTTCAATACGATGACATGCATCAACCAAGTCAGCGAGCATGACCACCCGATCCTGTTAGTCGCCTCTTATGACAAGCATAGTCACTTATTGCGGCAAGCAGGGGTTGCTGAAGACCTATTCTACCCTGGATCTTCACAGGTCCTGATTAGTATGAATGGTCACTAATGCTGTTCAATACGATGACATGCATCAACCAAGTCAGCGAGCATGACCACCCGATCCTGTTAGTCGCCTCTTATGACAAGCATAGTCACTTATTGCGGCAAGCAGGGGTTGCTGAAGACCTATTCTACCCTGGATCTTCACAGATCCTGATCAGTATGAATGGTGATTTAGTGAAATTTACCTCACCTTACATTACTAAACAGATGAGGTGAAAAGGAGTTTAACATATGATCGCATTCAAGATTATTCACTCATACTGTGACATGCATGCATGTGTGTGTGTGTGTGTAGTCTACTGAGATACCATACCACATTTAAACATGGATACCCCACTCCGACACAGTAAACAGACTCCTAGCCAAACAGCCTGGGTTTTATGACCTTAATGCAAAGGGTCAGACTGGGTAACAATGAAATACCATTTTTTAACGTCCTTTGGTATGGCCAGCTGGGAATCAAACCAATGACCTTCCACTCTCAGGGCAGACGCTCTATCTACTGGACCACGGAGGCAGTCACATAAGCAACAGCAGTCTGTTAAAGGATCTAGACCAGACCAACCAGTGAAGTACGGTTCGTTTACTATCGAATATCTATAGGTTGCTGACACCCAGCAGAACCATTCTGAGAGAATCTTAGTTGGAGTCAGGGACTCATCTGGATGAGGCTGAATATCATGGAATTGTATTTACAACTTTCATACTTGCTGCAGTATGTCCTCCAGGCACTAAGAACATTAGCATAGGGAGTGCTTATTAAAACCCTTCACAAGTTAAATTTGTTGTCAGATATCAGAAGGTGGAGATTCAACATGGTCGAAAGTCGATGAAACACACTTTTTCGATATTAGTTACAAGACATTTATATACCACTTTTGCGCTGCTGTTTAAAAAGGTGTCATATGCACAAGGAAAAAGGGACGGATATGAACATTTTCAGGCTTGGTACTGGGTGCCTGTAAAGACTGGTCAAGAAGTTGGTCATGAGGTGCTTCATGGAGAGGGACACTTAATACAGAAAATACGGTAGTTCAAAACCATTGATCTCAAGGTAACAACCACAGGGCTCGATTAAGCTATATAAAACTTGCACCAGTGCAACCTAATATTGAAAAATGCAACCTTATATTTTTAGTTATGGTGTCTTTAGTTGCCGTATAGTTGTCATATTAGGCTCACGCCTCGCCCAATATTTTCCTGCTAACCTAATATGACAACTATAGACACCATAACAAATTTATTATGCCGAAAAGTTTACACTATTTGGTATCTTTGTCGCACACGTCATGTCAAAATGAAAACTTGACACTTACAACGGTATAAACGACAGGACCAGTACATGTTTCCGATATACAACGCTTTAACGTAAACATAAATGTTATCAATCGAATATATAATGCACTAAATGAGAACGTTTAAAGTCTAATAGCTAAAATGGATCAAATTTTCATCAAAATGCCCGCATGGTAACAGAAATATGCGGGCCAGTGTAACTTGATAGTTGGCCGCTCTCCCCTAACAACGAGCTGCTGTCTATTCTTGTTTGTGACGTCATCCTATACTATGTTCTATGACGTTGCTATTTGTAACTCAGTGACCTCGGTTTTAAGCTTCTTTTCTCTATAACTTTTATCAATAAAGTCACGAACGTGGTTTTTTTAATAAATAATGTCTTTGCTCATCACAATTGATGACAAACAAACACAGAACAGTGTCGATAACGAATTTCTGTACCAGAATTTCCACGTGAAATATGTGAGGTGGGTGTTGGAAAATCCAAAATGGCTGTTACTGACAGTACATGGTCTCATATTAGGTCAGTAACAGCCATCTTGGATTTTTACTGACTGTATATGGGTTCATGTGGGGGTTAGTGGTTCTGCTCTCTGATTGGTCAATCTCACTTTGAGGCATAATAATAATATCTACATGCACTTAGCGAATGTCAAAGACTTCCAACTCACTTTGTCCATCACTCATCCACACAATTTTTTATTTTTGAACACATTCAGTACCTCTAAACTTTATCATGTTTATGTATCAACATGTACAACATCACTAATCCCTATGTTATTTGTAACGCTTTCGTTGGCTTGTTATCATCAAACTGTGGGTACTCCAAGATGATGTTTTCATAAATTACAGCAATGTGTCATTAACGTATGCAACACTGGCAGCAGCCGGTCTGTTTCAACTTGATAGGTTTATGGGACCAGGTGCAACCTGGCTTTGTCTGGGGCAACTAGGTTTTCATGTCAACATGCACAGGGTGCCTTAAATCGAGCCCATTGAAAATGTATGTTGTCAAAAGTTAAGTGAGTGAATGAGTATGGTTTTACGCCGCTTTTAGCAATATTCCAGCAATATCACGGCGGGGGACACCAGAAATGTGCATCACACTTTGTACCCATGTCGAGAATCGAACCTGGGTCTTAGGCGTGACGAGCTAACGCTTTAACCACTAGGCTACCCGACCGCCCCGGCAAAAGTTAAGGACCTGTAAACAAAGTCAGTACTGCCTTGGCACTGTGTCTAAAAACAGTTACAGCTGCTGAGACAGTATCCATATATTCACATAGTTGGCACAGACTAGAGAGAATCATCCGGCATCACTTACTTGTCCAGCCAGATGACAGCATTCAGGTCCAGATGGTTGGTGGGTTCGTCCAACATCAGCAACGTAGGCTCCAAGAACAATGCCCTGTATCAACACAAGTGATTTACTAGTCCAGTAAGACAACAGTACAGTCTACTCAACCATCAAGTCTCTTTAGTACTTTGAAAATGTAGCAAACTTTGTTGTGTAACGCCCCACTGAGCAATATTACAGCTATATGATGGCGGCCTGATGGATACAGGAGAACAATCCACCTTGCTGGGGTACAATGACACAAAGTCACAAAGTCTGCACACCTGACCCAGGGGTAGCAGAGGGGGTAGGGGGTGACTTGTGGTTGTGGGGGTGGATGCGGGTATGGGGGTGGATGTTTTAAGTCAGTTGTCTTTTTTTGGCTTAGTCAGTCAAAACACCACATGCAAAAATTAGACAGGTGTCTAGCTGAATAAAAATGTGAAATCATCTCCATGCAAATGCAGACAGTCTGTAGGGAAACATGATGACAGCTGGTTCTGCTTTGGTTTCATTACTGCCACTTGTGTTTGCTTGTTTGTTTGTTTGTTTGTTTGTTTGTTTGTTTGTTGTTTAACGCTGAATCAGCAATATTCCAGCTGTATGACAGCGGTCTGTGTTTGTTTGTTTGTTGTTTAACGCTGCACTCAGCAATATTCCAGCTATATGACAGTGGTCTGTAACTAATCTGTCTGGACCAGACAATCCAGTGATTGACATCATGACCATCGATTCACACAACTGGGATATGATGACATGCATCAACCAAGTCAGCGAGCCTGACCAGTACACCCTATCAGGACACTTCTATGAAAGCAGCCTCTCACCAAGCTGGCTGACAAGGGGACACCGGTAGCCCAGTCGTCTAAGGCACCTCGATTCGCTGTGCAAAGTTGCGTCCCTTGGACACGCCAGAAACCTTTAATTGTGGGTACGAATCCCGGTTTGACCCGATTATATTTCTAGGTTTGTCAGCACCATACCCGTGCTCGTGGGTTTCAACGAAGTGGTAAACGTCTGAGACCTGCATCTCTTGGGGCTTTCCTCCCACATGAAGCTGACACGCCGCAATATAACTGGAATACTGTTAAAAGCGGCGTTAAACCAAACTCACTCACTCACTTGCTGACAACTAGAACAAAAACAGAGAGTTAGTGATTATTGTGTAACTCCAATTTTGCAGCTATTCACAGTGAAGAACAAAAGAAGAACCGAGGTGAATTAGGAAAGCCACATTTTGTCCTTTCTACACCCCCTGCACCTCTGTGAGCCTGTACCTACCTGGCAAGTGACACTCTCATCCTCCAGCCTCCAGACAAGTCTTTGGTGGACCTGTCCATCATATTCTTTGTGAAGCCGAGACCAGCCAGGATCCTACGTGCCTTCGACTCTGCAGCATCTGCGCCAATAGCACGCAGCTCCTCGTACACCTGGACAGAAGAAACAAGGCGGGGAGTTCATTATAACGTGATTTACAGATTCAACAGCCAATCACTGAAGTGGGGGTATCAAAATAAGATTGTTTTCTTTCTTAAGCATAGTAAGATGAGAGGGAGGTAACTCCTTAACACACAGCATAATGTTGAACAAGGCCAAGTTGGTAAGGATAAACAACTTCTTTATTACAATTTAGGTGAGGTTTTGGTGTAGATACTAACACCTTTATCAAACAAGTGGTAAAAGTTGCTTTAATTGTAACAGCTGAGTGAGTGAGTTTTAGTTTACGTCGCTTTCAGCTATATTCCAGCAATATCACGATGGGGGACACCAGAAATGGGCTTCACATATTGTACCCATGTCGGGAATTGAACCCGGGTCTTCTGCGTGACGAGCAAACGCTTTAACCACCAGGCTACCCGACCGCCCCTAATTAAAATAAAGGAGTTGTTTATGCATAGGAACTTGTCCATGTCCTTGTTCATCACACCTGGCCTCTGAGCAAGTCTAGATAAAACCCTGACTAACTACTTTAACTGTATCAGAAAGCTGTTATAAGTTAAACTTTAGCTAGATGTGTTTTCCTGAGTTTAAAGACAATTGAAGGAAATCCTACAAGATCTTCCCAGTTGTATTTGAGAGTACACGTAAAAAGTACAGGGGATATCATTGCTTGTTTCACTCTTGATAGAAGAGTGTGGTTGGCACACAGCTATTTTTAGCGCTGTGTCATTCGAACCTGACAAAAAACAAAGGTATTCATCACAATCATAGCAATAGCATGAATATATAACACACTGGACAATCGAGGAACCCCTGTGAATGAGTTGGGTAGAACCCCACTTTGAACAACACTTTGAACAAGCACAGTGTTTCAGCTTAATGGGTGATACAGTTCAACTTGACACAGGCCCACAGACCCACGAACAGTAACAATGTAAAAAATCAGGGAGAACCAGGATTCAATCCAATAATTAGCTGATCCTGACAAAACAAAGGGATGCAACTCTACACACCAAACTGGCAAACTCAAGACAAACAACGGTGATATCATTGTCACAAGTTAGTATGGTATTATGCCACTTTTAGCAATATTTAAGAAATATTGCAGCAGGGGACACAAGAAATGGTCTTGACTCATTGTACCCAAGTGGGGAATCGAACAAGGTCTTTGGCGTGACGAGCAAAAGCTTAAACCACGAGGCTACCCCGCAGCCCGAAATCCCCTCCAGCCGAATGTTGACCAACCTGCTTGAGCCTCTCACTGTTGTTGGTGTTGCCAGCCTCAGACTCGTGCATTAGCTTCTTCTCTTCCTCCATGAGAGCAACACGCTTCTTGTCGGCCTTCAGCACCACGTCGATGGCCTTGTCCACACTCGCCTGCACCTCTACACACACAAATCAGCCACAAGTTGGACAAGGTTTGTTTTGTTTGATGAAAGTCTTAATAAGCATTTAGAAGTAGGATGTTAACATGACAAGGAGTATTATAAATAACAACTTCTTCATTATAGTAATACATATACAACGTTTCAGGGATGCTTCTTGACCCTTCATCAGGTGGAACGTGTAAAAACTGGCCCTGATTCGTGGATTCAACTGATGAAGATTCAAGGAGTCACCCTGAATCAAGGATCCATGTGATGAAGATTCAAGGAGTCGGCCCAGATCAAGGATTCAACTGATGAAGATTCAAGGAGTCACCCTGAATCAAGGATCCATGTGATGAAGATTCAAGGAGTCGCCCCAGGTAAAGGATTCAACTGATGAAGATTCAAGGAGTCACCCTGAATCAAGGATCCATGTGATGAAGATTAAAGGAATCACTCCAGATCAAGGATTCAACTGATGAAGATTCAAGGAGTCACCCTGAATCAAGGATCCATGTGATGAAGATTCAAGGAGTCGCCCCAGATCAAGGATTCAACTGATGAAGATTCAAGGAGCCACCCTGAATCAAGGATTCAACTGATGAAGATTCAAGAAGTCGCCCCGAATCAAGGATTCAACTGATGAAGATTCAAGGAGTCGCCCTGAATCAACGATTCAACAGATTAAGATTCAAGGAGTCACCTTGAATCAAGGATCCATGTGATGAAGGGGCAAAAAGTAGCTGTGAAACATTGATATGTATCATAAAAAAGTTGTTATCCATATTATTCAAATCACAATTATTTGTTTGTTGTTTCTGCTGCACTCAGCCATATTCCAGCCACATGAGGTGAGTGAGTTGGGTTTAATGCAGCTTTTGACAGTGTTCCAGTTATATCATGGCGTGTTGGCTTAATGTGGGAGGAAAGCCCAAAGTGACAAGCACGGGTATAGTGCTAACAAACCTAGAAACATAAATGGGGCGAACCAGGATTAGAACCCACAATCATAGGTTTCTGGCGTGCCCAAGGGACAGAACTCTGCACAGCGAATCACGGCGCCTTAGACGACTGGGCCACCCATGCCCCCTCCAGCCGCATGTTAGTCACCGAGCTGACGACTTGACCCATTAGGTTGTTTTGTACAACAATCATAGGTTGCTGGGACAATTTTTACTCGGAATCCCCACAATTTATAGATGATTACGGGTGGGTACTTACCTTGTTCACAGTACAGCACATCTATGTTGGGGGGAATATTCAGGGATCTGCTCTGGATGTGTTTCAGCAGCGTGGTCTTGCCATGCCTGAGTGAAGATCACATCAAGTCATTAGGAATAGCGAGAGAGTGAGTGTGGTTTTACGCCGCTTTTAGCAATATTCCAGCAATATCACGGCGGGGGACACCAGAAATGGGCTTCACACATTGTACCCATGTCGGGAATCGAACCGGGGTCTTCGGCGTGACGAGCGAACGCTTTAACCACTAGGCTACCCGACCGCCCCTCATTAGGAATACAAGATGAAACAGTTCGTGTGTAAATGAGTTCAGTTGAAAGCAGCTTTCAACGGTAGTTCACATCATGTCATCTTCATGTGGGAGGAAAGCCTAAATTAATGCAGGCTTTAGATGCTTACCACTGTGGTTTGTTGTTTAACGACGCACTCAGCAATATTTCCAGCTATAATCGAGTCTGGACCAGACAATCCAGTGATTGATATCATGAGCATCGATCCACGCAATTGGGATCAATGACATGCATCAACCAAGTCAGCGAGCCTGATCACCCGATCCCGTTAGTCGCCTTTTACGACAAGCATAGTCGCCTTTTACTGCAAGCATGGGTTTCCGAAGACCTATTCTACCCCGGAATCTTCACGGGGCTCTTACCATTGTGGCGAAACCCACAAGCAAGTGTTTGGTGCTGACACACAGAGAACCATCATGATAATCAGGATGAGTCAACAATTCATGCTTTGTTTATTTGTTGTTTACAGTGTCCCCGCTGGCTTTTGAAACTGCCAGTACTGGTGGACTGGCAACTCTAAAAATTACCATCCCTCTAATTTTTGTCAGTCCCAACTTTCAACATGTTCAACAAATAAAAAAACATATGAAAATTACCTGGTTTTAATTCCCTCAACATCATATTCAATGCAATGAAGTCATCTCTGAAGTAACTTAGTTAGATTTACTTGTCATTCACACAAAGTTCAGTCACAATTCGCTCTTCTTTTTTAATATTTCGAGACTAAGTCACTACAAATATATACTTAACTGTTATTTCCTTGCACTAGAAATAGACAAGGGGAACCCAAGACAAGCTGACTTCGTTTGAAAAATATACTTATATGAATATCGCCGATGTTTTTTAACAAAGATTTGTAAGGTACTTTATTTGCCAGTCCACAGGGACTTGCAGTCACATGAACTACCGGTCCAAGCCTAATTTTACCGGTAAAAAACTGGTAATTACCAGTAAACAGGAACACTGTGTTTAGAATGCACTCAGGACTAATACTGCTAAATAATTGAGTATGGACGAGACAATGCAGTGATTGATATCATGAGCAACGTTCCTCTGTCATGTTATACTGACACAGAGCTCCAGATAAGCTTTTGGTGTTGTGGGTATTTTACCCATGCATTTTAAAATCATTGGGTATCAGTAATTGTATCTGGGTATTCAAATTTCTGTTACCCACTAGTTTTTACACATGTGGGTATTTAAGTTAAATATTAAAAACACTATTCATCTAGTCCCTGCAAACTGGTGTCGTGTGGGTTCGAGAGCTTTATAGGACTCAAAACTACCATGATACTTCCACAAGAAAGTGTGATGGCAAATGATTATGATGTAACAGTCATCGTGGAGTTTGGCAAGGTTGACGAAATGTCCGTTTATAATTTCAAAATAAGTTGCTGATTTGCTAATCGAATACGCAGGGTTACTTCACAATATTTTGATGATACGCACAAGTTTTATTTTTGTAGCGTATCTGAAATGTTCGTTGCGTATTTGATACGCTTGGATTTTATTTTACTGCGTATTTCTGCATTTCTGATGCGCATTTTACGCAGATACGCAGCTTTTCTGGACCTCTGCTGATACACCATCAACAATCAACCAAGTCAGAGAGCTTGACCACCCAATTCATTAAGTCCCCTCTTAGGACCAGCATAGGTTGCTAGGGACCAATTCTAAGCCGGAATACCCACAAGTTAGTTTTCAAGTAGCTAAAGGATGCAACTCTCTTACACATTGCAGCACCTTAGAACACTTGTCCAGGTGAGACAAATCCATACTTTAATAATAATCACAATAATAGTTCACCACTTCTTCACAATATATTTAATGTGTTCAGGTCATAACTTGTGTTCAGAGCTGCTAGTTTCTACAAAGTGATATACACATGAGTTATTTAAGTTTGATCGTCTTCAATCACATTAAACATTGCTTCACAAGAATCACAGCTTCCTTGTTTCTAGAAAATATATTTGGGTATTGATTGAGGCCAAACTTTCTAATTTTGCTAAAAAGTTTGGAAAATAACTTCCTTGATGTCTTTTCTATGGTAATGCTTTGATAAAAGTGCCCTTTATAACGTAAATGACCAATTTTCATGAGAAAAGTTTTGCGTTTGAGGTATTATTAAATAATTATAATTAAATATAATCACAGCTAATTAGTCCTGTAAGATATGAGTGAGTGAGTTGGGTTTAATGATTTTGACGTTTTGAACAGTATTTCAGTTGCATCACGGCATGGCAGCTTGATGTGGGAGGAGAGACCTAAGTGATGCAGGAGTTAGCCATTTACCACTTCAGTGAAACCCAATAGTACGGACATGGTGCTGATACACCAAGAGTGAGTGAGTGAGTTGTGTTTAACGCCGCTTTTAACAGTATTCCAGTTATATCACGGTATGTCAGCTTCATGTGGGAGGAAAGCCCCAAGTGATGCAGGTCTCAGACGTTTACCACTTCGGTGAAACCCACGAGCACGGGTATGGTGCTGACAAACCTAGAAACATAATCGGGGCGAACCGGGATTCGAACCCACAATCATAGGTTTCTGGTGTGTCCAAGGAACGCAATTCTGCACAGCCTTAGACGACTGGGCCACCCGTGCCCCCGATAAACCAAGAAACAATCAGGGTGAATGTGGGATTTGAACCACGGTCATAGGTTTTGGGCCCACCTAAGGGACACAACTCTGCCAAGCACTTGTGGTACCTGTAAGAAAGGAAGACAAGCAAGTACGCACCCATTAGGCCCCACTAGACCATATCGTCTCTGGTTCGTGATCTGCAGCGTAGCCCCAACAAACAGATCCTTCCCTCTGGCCGATATGGAGAAGTTCTCCACCTGATGGCAAGACACAATGTTCGGTATAACCGTAGTTTATTGTAGTTTGGACAGACAATCTGGTGATCAATATTATGATCTGTTTGTTTGTTGTTTACACCACACTCATGTATTCCAGCTACATCACGGCGGTCTGTAAGTAATTGAGTCTGGACTACATAATCCAGTGATTGACATCATGAGCATCGATCCATGCAATTGGGACACGATGGATGACATGCATCAACCTTACCGTTAGTCGCCTCTTACGACAAGCATAGTCACCTATTACAGCAAGCATGGGTTGCTGAAGACCTATTCTACCCCGGATCTTCACTGGTCTTGATATTATGAGCAACAATCTACGCCATTGGGGTACGATGACATGCAATCAACCAAGTCACCGGGCCTGGCCACCCAATCCACTTGGTTACCTCTTACGACCTACAAAGGTTGCTGGGAACCTATTCTAACCCGGAATCCCCACAGGGTCTCAAATCAATGAACTTCAACAGTGTCATGGCCGCTAAACACTGTGGTACTAATATAGGCATGTGTATTTCACTGCTGGAGGCGTATGTACCTTGATGTCTTGTTGGTTCTCCAGCACCGCGGCCTTTGAGGACTTCTCAGCCTGGGACACGGAGAACTGTCCCTGGTCGCCCATCATCTCCAGCTGCTGCTTGTACTCCGCCTACAACATAGCGGTCAGAGAGTTGGACTTTTCAATAGGGCTGGGTATCGACATAGATTATAGAGATCGATAATCGCTAACTAAATATCAATCAATTACTTCAATAACTTCGAGATATATGCAAAAGAAATCAACATATTTTATGCCACTGGTGAGCAGTGACACATTTATATATGGATCATTTTGTGGGCATTCGAGATATTAAAAAAACTCAGTTGCTTCCCGTCTTCAACACTTGACATTTTTGACAATAACAAGTCTGTTTCAGTAAATCTAAAATTTATTTCATCACAATACTTTTTGTTAGTTATTATCGATGACACTGATTCCAATTGTTGATCTTGTTAGCCAGCCCTACTTTTGAATATGATCACGACAGGGACACCATAACTGGGCTTCACACATTGTATCCACATGGAGAATCAAACCTGGTTCCCTAGTGTGATGAGTAAACACTTTTACTACTGGTCTACCTCTACTGCCCCAACAACACAGGGTGAATGAACTGGGTGTTACAATGTGATCACGAAGGGGATACAATAAATGGGCTTCACACATTGTATCCACATGAGGAATCGAACCCAGGCCTTAGGTGTGATGAGTAAACACTTAAACCTATGGGCTACCCTACCCATGGGGAACTGAGGTGACAATAACTGCCATACTTTAACATACGGTACTTGTTGCAATAAGCGCTCTGCTCCTATTAGAGCCTCATGACCAACTTCTAGACCAATCTGTTAGAAATCTTTACAACCAAAAAGGTACGACTGTCCACATTTTCTTGGGTATAGGAAATATTATTTATATAAAACAGCAGCTCAAAACGGCAAAAAGGGTATGTAATTGCAAAATGATTATTATTGAAGATGTTTTAGTTTCACCGGTGTTTGAACAAAATTGTTCAAAATGACTCGATGACTAAAACCAACTTGTAGTGTATGGCTTTTATAAGCACCCCCTTTGTCAATTTTCTGGGTGCCCAGGGTGCTTACTAGTGTGAATACGGTATAGACATTCCTACCCACAGAAAACCAATGTTTGACTGACTGAATTGCAATTCCTCACTCAGGATGATTGTTTCATGAAATGATAATGATCAGGAAATTATAGGGAAAAAAACATTGGACCCTAGATTTCAAAACAATTTACTTCCTGACCCTATTTTCCAAGTACCCGGCCAATCACTACTTATGTAATGGGATATGATATCGAATTGTGAAATATGACTAACAAAATATGTCTAATGTCTTTGGTGGTCGAGACCAGCTCTGAGGAAATGTCAGTGCGTATTATACAAGAGAAATATTTTTTTCCATAATTTAATTGCCCATAATTAGGGGTGCGTTTTATATACTATGAATACAAGTGCCTATTATATACAAGTGTGTATTATATACAACTGTGTATTATATAACTGTGCATATCATTCAAGTAAGTATTATATACACATGATACAAGTGCGTATTATACACAGATAAATATGGTAACTATGTTAACGATAACATGACAAGACAATGTTAAGTTTTGGTGTGTCTTATTACATCCTATCTATCTAGATTATTGACATGTATCAATACAGACATGCATGGAATATCATGGCTTTCTTCATAATCAAACAAAAAGCAATATGACAAATACCTGTTTCTTTAACTTCTTTAATTCCTTCTTGCTAAGCTTGGGTTTTATTTCTTCCGTTTCTTCTGTTTGAAAACAAGAAATGTTATCATAAACATAAGACTCTATGAACATGTGTCAAATGAAATCAAATCCAAAATGGCATGAAGTACTCAGGGAATTATCTAGGATTCCAGATTGACCAACAAATCAATAAAATACGTACTTGTTCAAATTTGGGATATTGAAAAGTCCTTACCGTATTCGACGTAATAAGCGCCCAGGGCGCTCTCAAAATAAGAAATAGGGGGCTATTATTAGAATATTATTTTGGTGAAAAAAAAACAGAGTTGAAAGATAAATTTCGTTGTTTATGCTGTCAGCCTGAAATGTTTATGTACGACAGATATATTTTTCAAAATTAAATGCCAATAATTAAGGGTGCATAAGTGCGTATTATACGCGAATAAATAAGTTTTGTGTACATTGATCAATCGGAAGGGGTGCTAATTGGGATTGTTCACTAGCCAATATCTTAGCAAATGTCGCCGTGGGCGCTTATTAGAGCGGGGCGCTTATTACGTCGAATACGGTATTTTCTTAAACACGTTAAATCCAAGACTGAAGCCCCTACTTGTTTATTAGTCCTGTTATCATGAAAATGAAATCACCTTGCAAAGCAATAACATTATTTATTACTCTAATAACATGATTTGGCAAATTCATTATTCCAATTATCAGAGTTTTACTGACAATTGCTTCATACTTTGAGCAGGGACGCATTCCACAAAGCGATCTTTGCGCTACAACTGTCGTAAGTCAGTGTTAAAGAATGGGAGTTACAATCGACTTGGCGCTAAGATTGCTTTGTGGAAAGGGGGGCCCTGGTCTAGATAAATCCCTGCTTTTGATACATATTTCATATATCATTAAACCTTCCAGAAAGTTGTTACATTGTATTTTCTTTCTAATTCCACAGGCACATTTACCATTCTAACTTTGATTATTTCTTCCTGTTGACCACACAATTGCCAGTTTCTAACACCTTCCCAAGGCAAGGGAGTTAACTGACTAAAGTACTCATGGAAATGAAAAAAAACTGTTTTGCTGGATTTAATAATCGACACAAAGCATTACGTAGATGTAAATACGAAATAACAAAACAACTGGAAAAGTACTAGTCTGGATTTGCTAGTTTTATCTCAGTGCTCAATACAAAATGTACTTTACAGGAGGTAATTTGTAGGCACTTTCAACATTCAAAAATAAAACTAAGTCCAAATTGACATGGCAGAAACAGGCTATAGGCATTATGCAAATTAGCCTGGAAAAAAGTTATCAAAACAAAAATAAAAATAACAGCTATGTTTATGTACATAATAATAATGACATGTGAGTTGTTGTTTGAGAAGGGAATATGTTACTTTTACGTTCTGATATTTTGATGATGATTCACTATCCCACAATGCCACTGACAAATCACTAACCACTGACAAATCACATGCATGTAGGTTTCAAGCACCTGTTTTCACCTGTCATCAAGGTGTCATAGGTCATGGACATTCACCTTGATCTACTAACACCTGGTTATGCTCAGTTTCACAATAGTCTGTTTTGTTCATATTTTTACACACTTTTAACCGTAAAAAGACATAAAAACCTTTGATACGCTGTATTTGTGCCAAGGCCCAATTAGTACTTATTGAGTTGTTTGAATATTTATATATTTTGTATATAAACTGCATTTATTTAAAATCTGAGAACGAAAAAACAGGTTTTTTTTATTTCCGTGAGTACTTTAGAAAAGTCCACTTTTCACCCTTGCCGAACTGGGCTGGAATGATGGAGTTATATTTTGGCTGGACTAACAAGTCTATGCATAGTCCAATCAACATCGCTTAACGAAAATAAAATCTGGTTCGTAAACTGCTGTGCAGATTACGGACTTGCAAAGCATGTGTATCACCACCTCAGCATCAACAGATATTTTCCAAATCTTTTCATGTTTTTAATCAATGTGCTCAAGTGATTTGATGCACTTTGTGAAGTAAGACCCATTTTATCAAAAATATAAATTTTGATTATCTTTCAGGTCGTCTTGGCTGGGTGCCGCCATTTTGTTTGAAGCAAATGCAGGTGATATCATGGATATGAGAGGTGGAATCTGATTGGTCAATAGGAGGAACATGGAAGGGAGATGACTCGTAATAGCCACTGGTGGTGCTACAATCGAGCCAGACATTCCAGCTTAGTTTGGCAAGGGTGGAAACTGGACTTTTACAGTCAGTAAACTCCCTTTCCTCGTGAAAAAGGTTTCTAAAGCCAGACGATGGTTCAACTTTCTTTTCTTTTTTTTTCATGACACTTACCTTGTTCAGCTTCCGCTGCTGCTCCACCAGCATCTCTGTCAACTTCACCATCATCGTCATCGTCAGAGCTGTAATGTTTCACAGGCTTTTTCTTTGGTTTGGCTTTTGGTTTCTCCACAACCGGCTCTGGTTCTTCCTCTGGTTCATCATTCTCCGCCTGCTGCATTTCTTCCTTCAGCAGATCCATCTTACTCTTCTTCGGCTTCTTCTTCTTTTTGGACTTGTCTTCTTCCTGTAACCATGGTAACAGTACTGAGACAATTATTCGGCTGCTTGAGTCTCACAACACCATCAATGCCAACATGCAGTTCCTGGGTCTTGGATATGGTCAAGTGAGGTCAAAAAGGATTTAATTTTGTGTTCAATATTGGTGCATTTATTTACCATAGCGACAGATGCTCTATCTATTACACCGCAGAGGTGGTCTCGAGGCTAACACAGTAAGAGTTGCCATGAAGTAGTTGAAAGTTAAGAGTGTCAGTGTCACACTCACAGTAGTGAGTGAGTATGGTTTTACGCCACTTTTAGCAATATTCCAGCAATATCATGGCGGGGGACACCAGAAATGAGCTTCACACATTGTACCCATGTTGGGAATCGAACCCGGGTCTTCGGCGTGACGAGCAAACGCTTTAACCACTAGGCTACCCGACCGCCCCCACACTCACAGTAAGACCAAGACCAGGGCAAAAGGAATCTGCTTAATGTGTATGAGGGAAATAAAACGACCAAAGCATTAACAATTTGGCTGACAGCTGTGGCCATTTCTATATCTTCAACATGTTCAATGAAAATTTTTTTCTGGCGTTGATTCCTGAACATCAAAATAAATACTTTTAAAAAACAACACAAACAATTTTTCCAGACCTATCTTTTTTGTAGATATCTAGTTATTTTCCGAACAATAATAAATGATTTTTTTGCTATAACTGCTTTGTGCTTTTGAGACTTGAGAAAAAAATAGATTTTCATAAACCGGCTCTACATATTACATGAAAAATACAATTCACAAAACAATGACAATTGGTCATCAATAACCATGCTAATATGTTCGATTTCGACATATTCAGACATCTTACACCAACGCCGCGCCAACCATCTGGAACATACCTTTGGATCTTCGTCGTCGACTGTCAAAGATTTCATTTTGTCATCTAAATTCGGTTCTTCGTCTGGCCAGTCGTCGTCTTTAGACTTTTTCCCTTTGCTTTTCTTCGGCATTCTGTCTGACAAGTATCTGGCCAACTACGTACGTTTCTCTATAAGTGATTGTGAGAAGATCTTGATTGGTATTTCACAACTGCATAGACATTCATGTGTCTCCCATGTGCTTTTGAAATCGAGGTTTGCCGGAAAGAATTAAGAGTTATCTCCCGTGAATGAACTTTAAAGAATCCGACTCGCATACTGGATTGCGTACAGCATTCACAAATGACACATTTTTTATTTTTTTATTTTAGGTAGGGTTGATTACATTCCAAGCGAAACAGCTATTTATTAAAATAGAAAATCAACGGAAACTTGGATTTTTTTAAATGACCACGCACCAGTGAAAACTGACACATGCCAAAGAGTGCCATTCAGTTTTGTCAAAACGGCGAAAACAGATTACGGAACGCATTAAGAGAATCCTCCTAGAGCTGTGAGGCATAATCCGCTATTTCGGATTTTCTGTCCCGATTGAATTAATTTTTCTAACTTCACAGCTTTGGTTCAAATCCATGTTAGATATGACATCTTGACATGTTAACTACATATAGGTTTTAATAAAACTCTCAATTATTTCTTTCTTTCATTAAGCGTTATAGTATCTGATCTAATCAAAACAAACGCATTTATAGGTTATTGCAAAGGTGCTCGCAATATCAGCTGTATCCACTGAAAATGTCTCCAAGAAATATACAAATCAAGAAGATAACTGCCAATTTGTAAGTGCCAAAGTGCTTTTAATTATGGAAACTAAAAAACCGGCTGCTATAGCATTAAACAGGCTAAATATCACTCGTTGTTGTGTTCGTGGTTGATTGAATTCTGCCCATTACGTGCTTAATGACAGAAAACAGCCGAAAGTGTGCTGATTGGTTCTCATTAATGTATTAATTAACACCACGGACTTGTATATATACTCAACAACAAAGTTCCTGTGACACCAATATTTTAGTGTATTTTTCAAACAAGTAAAGTTTGGTTTTCAATATTGTAGTACATGTATGGAATCAAGTCACAAAAACGCATCTGCTACAAAAAAGCATGCATTCCATGCAAAAGTTGACTTTTATGCAAGCCCCATGCATTTCACTACCCAAGAATGGGTATAAAAACATGTGATGTTGCAAGATAATTTAACGTCCACAGAAACACCTTTTGGTGTTTATGGCAACGTTGGCAACAGACGAATGCAGTCAGAAACCATCCTCGGAGTGGCAGGCCACGCGTAACCAATACTCGACAAGACAGCTGGATCCGAACAATACACCTACGAAATCGATTCCAGCCAGCGACAGTGACTGCAAGAAGCATCCCTGGCCTTCGACGTATTTCTTCACAAACCGCACGTCGTCGCCTCAGATGTGCGGGGAATGTCGCAGACAGCGTCTACGCTGAACGGCCATGCAGTTGGGACAAGTTCTATTCACTGACGAGTCTCGTTTTCACCTCAACCAAAGCAATGGACGGATTCGAGTGTACCGACGTCGAGGTAAACGTTACGTCAATCATTGTGTCATGGAAGAAGATCGGTTCGGGGGCGGCAGCGTTATGGTATGCGGTGGGATTGCAGCAAGACAGAGGACCCGTTTGATAGTGGTAGAGGGAAATCTCAATGGGCAGCGCTACCGCGACGAGATCATCAACCCTGTTGTTCTACCGTTTTTGTGTCGTCATGGCCCAGGCATTACCTTCCAACATGACAACGCCCGGCCTCATATTTCTCGACTTGTTCAGGATTCTCTTTATGAAATCGCGCATTTTCTGAAGTCAGTATGGCAAATTAAACCATTTGAACACTTACAGCAGTCGTTTATCTGTTGCTAACCGAAATTGTTTCAAATTTGGTAAGAAACATAACTTTGCATTAAATCTTATTCAATGTCACAGGAACTTTTGTTGTTCAGTATAGGTTATATGTCGCATTGACGATTTTTAAATGAAGAGTGATTGTGTAACAAAGAATTTCATGTGTGGTTGTAAAAAAACATGCAAGAATCACTGTAACAAACTGAACAGATCCAATAACATATTTATCTATTTCCCACGTGACTCTTTTGTTACTATGTATACATGCTGGTTTGTATACAGCCTGACCGTTTTGACAAAAAGTCTAGATACAGTTTGGAACAGTTCTGTTTTATTGAAGTTTCATCACGTAAGCTATTGTGTCCTTTTCTGACTGAATAAGCAATTTTGTTTGTTCAAATTGAATAGATTTATCATGTCAATAATACACATTACATGTGATCTTTCTACACCGCCTTTTTCAGGCCTCGTGGACCAACAATCATCAAGAGAATATTTGATAGAAGCGTGGGTAAAATACCACTTATTCTCCCTTCCGGCTCCGTGCAATGAACGGTCCCTCGTACCTTCTTTGTTGAAGAGCACCTGTAATTTTCTATTTTCATTCATGACATAGGATAATTTTCAGTGCATGGGAAGATGTAAACAAAGGCATATCTTACAGTTTACTCACTGCATGTCATCGCTGGTGCGTAATTGAATGATGGATTGTCGACAGATGGATACAAGCAGTTGGACAACAAGCTAATAGATCAGACATTACCTGCAAGAGCCAAGACAGGTTGGTCGTGTGTTTACAAATGCAATATCGATTTCTTTGGTTTGCCCTGAGTGGCGCACATCTGTATTATGACAATGGGAGATTTTGAAGGTTTTGTTCTGATTCAGGTAATCGCTGAAACAAATTAACCTTATTTTTCATAGACACAGATTTGTTTATTTTGAGCTTCAGTTTACCTAGGGCCATGATTCGTAAACAACATTAATGGTTAATGCAATAATCAAATAATCATACACAAAGAAAGGAATTGTAGTAGTCAAAAGGCAATATTTTAATTATAACATTTCCTTTTCGGTGTTCACTAAGCAGTGGCAATTAACAATAGCAATTAATAAAATATAATGTGATATTTGATAACACCTCTGCTTTTAACTGAAGTATATGTTGAGTATCACTTAATTGCCATTACTTATAAAACTCTAATCCCTTTTGTTAATTTTCATTCCGGTTGTACATTTTCTGTCCGCAACCCTGAACAATGCTGAACGAGCTGTACATCTCTGTCATTTCTCAACATTCCTGTTGTACATTTTCTGTCCGCAACCCTGAACGAGCTGTACATCTCTGTCATTTCTCAACATTCCTGTTGTACATTTTCTGTCCGCAACCCTGAACGAGCTGTACATCTCTGTCATTTCTCAACATTCCTGTTGTACATTTTCTGTCCGCAACCCTGAACGAGCTGTACATCTCTGTCATTTCTCAACATTACTGTTGTACATCTCTGTCATTTCTCAACATTACTGTTGTACATTTTCTGTCCGCAACCCTGAACGAGCTGTACATCTCTGTCATTTCTCAACATTACTGTTGTACATCTCTGTCATTTCTCAACAATACTGTTGTTTATATTTATGACTTACCGTATTCGACGTAATAAGCGCCCAGGGCGCTCTCAAAATTAGAAATAGGGGGCTCTTATAAGAATATTATTTTGGTGAAAAAAACAGAGTTAAAGGATAAATTTCGTGGTTTATGCTGACAGCCTGAAATGTTTATGTACGACAGATATATTTTTCCAGAATTTAATTGCCCATAATTTAGGATGCATGTAAGACACGAGTGCGTATTATACGCGAATAAATAAGTTTTGTGTACATTGATCAATCGGAAGGGGTGCTAATTGGGATTGTTCACTAGCCAATATGTTAGCAAATATCGCCGTGGGCGCTTATTAGAGCGGGGCGCTTATTACGTCGAATACGGTAATACATGTCAGGTGACTTTGGCTATAGAAGCCTTGGTTCAGTGATGAAAAGGGCAGGTCACACGCTTAGCTTAGCTAGGGTGCCCCAGGGCACAAACACGACCATGACTACCACTATGTGGTGACCTGGCACATAATATAGGTCTACAGTATTTTCTTGAATATAGTGAGCACTTTTTAAAAAACAACACACCTGTGTACATGGTGTAGAGAGGGGATGTGCTTTTTGAACACCTATAGTGAGTTTTGATGATTTGTTTTCCAGCGCAAAGACATTACTATGAGCACGTAACACCATGTCAACAAATCTCTACTGTAGTATTGCAGGGTAGAAGCCTCCGACTCGAAGCTGTTACATCGCACCAAGAACCATACCCCTGCCATATAAAAAACGCACCATGGCATGGGTGGCCCAGTCGTCTATCGCTGTGCAGAGTTGCGTCCCTTGGGCACGCCCGAAACCTATGATTGTGGGTTCGAATCCCGGTTCGCCCCGATTATGTTTCTAGGTTTGTCAGCACCATACCCGTGCTCGTGGGTTTCACCGAAGTGGTAAAGGTCTAAGACCTGCATCACTTCGGGCTTTCCTCCCACATTAAACTGACACGCCGTGATATAACTGGAATACTGTTAAACATGTTAAAAGCTCTCTCTCTCTCTCTCTCTCTCTCTCTCTCTCTCTCACTCACTCACTCACTCACTCACTCACTCACTCACTCTTACTTTTCAATATGTCTGAGTGAAGCATTCGGACAAGCATATCTAATTTTTGTATTTCTTATCCTGGAGTTCTGAATGAAAAAACTTGATATATTTTCCTGTTGTCTCTAAACACCATGGCATCTCTTCACAAAAAAGTATTATCATGGTGTATTTGCTTAGACTGACTAATTGAGGTGGTAAAGCATCATTCAAGAAAGCTGACATATTACTGGCTTAAAAATCCATGCATCCTTTTCTAAGATTGGGCAGTCAGTATATGCTCAGGCTTCACCTGACACGACCTTCTATGGAGGTGTCGTCAGATATTGACGCAGGAAGGTATCGTATTGGAGTAAAAACATGAATGTAATAAGACTGTTTGCTTTGTGCATGTAGTGATTGTTTTTACGCCGCACTCAGCAATATTACAGCTACCACATTCAACGTAATAAGCGCCCAGGGTGCTCTCAAAATTTGAAATAGGGGGCTCTATTAGAATATTATTTTGGTGAAGAAAACCGAGTTGAAAGATTATTTTTTGGTTTATGCTGACAGCCTGAAATGTTTATGTACGACAGATATATTTTTCCAGATATATTTTGCCCATAATTAACATATAACATACGAGTGTTTATTGTACGCAAATAAATAAGTCTTGTGTACATTGATCAATCGGAAGGGGTGCTAATTGGGATTGTTCACTAGCCAATGTATTAGCAAATATCGCCGTGGGCGCTTATTAGAGCGGAGTGCTTATCACATCGAATACGGTATATGACGGCAGTCTGTAAATAATCAAGTCTGGACCAGACAATCCAGTGATTCACATCATAAGCATCGATCCACGCAATTGGGATATGATAATATGCACTTACCAAGTCAATGAGTCTGACAACACAATCCCGTAAGTCGTCTCTTACGACAAGCATAGTCGCCTGTTACGGCAAGTATCGGTTGCTGAAGACCTATTCTAACCCGGATCTTCAAGGATCCAGGAGTTTTGACTTCTGGAGTTAACACACTGCAGAGTTGTGTACTTTGGGCCTACCAGAAAGCTATGATTGTGGGTTTGAATCCCAGTTCATCCTGATTGTGTTTCTAGGTTTGTCAGCACCATACCCGCGCTCGTGGGTTTTATGAGTGATAAAAGTCTGAGATGTATCACTTCAGGCTTTCCTCCCACATTAAGCTGACACGCCATGATATTACCTGACATACTGTTCAAAGCGGCAAAAGGCGACTATGCTTGTCGTAAAAGGCGACTAACAGGATCGGGTGGTCAGGCTCGCTGACTTGGTTGATGCAGGTCACCGATCCCAATTGCGTGGATCGATGCCCATGATATCAATTCACTGGATTGTCTGGTCCAGACTCAATTATTTACAGACCGCCGTCATATAGCTGGAATATTGCTGAGTGAGCCTCAAAAAAACAAACCAACCAAACCAATCAAAGCAGCATTAAACCCGATCTACTCACTCCCTATCGGGTTGACAAGATAACATCTCACATAACATTATTTTTTTTTCTACTTTCAGGTGAAACAAACAGCTGTTGACAATGGAGAGCCAGCCAGAGGACCAGCCATCAGTAGTTATTCCTATAGATCTCTTCACTGAAGCCCTGAAAAACAATGATTCAGCACAAGCAATATCCTATCTGTCAGACCCAGTGTTCAGACTGAATGTATCCCTGGGAGAATGTCTCGTTGAATGTGCCAAATATGGCAACCTGATTGCCCTCGACTTCATCCTCAACCTCCACAATCGAATCCATCAATGTATCAGTTACACCGACGAGAGCAACAAGCGCGCTCTGCACCACGCAGCCATGCACGGACCCCTGGAGTGTGTGGTGCGACTTGTCCGCGCGGGCTCGACAGTCAACTGCTGTGACAGTGAGGGCTACACACCCCTGCTGTGTGCCTGTCAGGGGGGCAGGGCCGATATTGTGCAGTACCTTGTCAAAGAAGGGGCTCACATTAATTCCTCTCGGTCATATAAATTTGGGGAGACTGCTCTGCATATAGCAGCTAAACATGGCCATGCAGAGACTGTGGCCATCCTGCTTGACGGCCGTGCAGACATAAATGCCACAACCAGGAATGTTGATGGTAATGGGGGATATACGGCTCTACACAAAGCGGCAAACGGCGGACACACGCGAGTTATTGAAATTCTGTGTATGAGGGGTGCCATATTGGATCTGAAAGATTCCATGGGTAAAACTCCATTGCATTTTTCAGCTGAGAAGGGAGACATTCTCAGTGTGGAGATTTTCAACAAATGTGGAGCACCGATCAATCTTCAGGACGAGCGGGGTAAGACGCCACTGGCCCTAGCTGTTCGAGAAGGCTACCCAGAGGTTGTCAAACACCTTATACGGTGTGGCTCAGATATTAATATGAGTGATACAAGAAGCCTGTCACCTTTGCATTCAGCAATAGCGGTACTGAATTACGAGATCGCCGAGTCTCTGCTACAAGCCGGCGCCGTCATCAACTGTCAGACCAATGACACACAGGAGTCGCCGCTGATGGTGGCCCTCAGCATGGGTCGGCCTGACCTGGTGCAACTCATGCTGAATAACGGGGCCGACGTGAATCTCTGTGACTTCAAGTGCTACTCTCCTCTACACCGGTCTCAGACAATTGGATGTAAGACTGAATACCTTAATATTTTGGTTTTCTTTGTTTGTTTGTTGTTTAACGTCACACTCAGCAATATTCCAGCTGTATGACGGTGACCTGTAAATAATCAAGTCCGGACAGACAATCCTGTGATTGACATCATGAGAATTGATCTACGCAATTAAGATTCAATGACATGCATCAACCAAGTTTTCAAGTCTGACAACTTGATCCCTTTAGTCACCTGACTCGTGAAGATCAGGGGTAGAATAGGTCTTCAGTAATCCATGCTTGTCGTAAAAGGCAACTAACAGGATCAAGTGGTAAGACTCTCTGACTTGGTTGATGCATGTCATCGTATCCCAATCACTGGATTGTCTGGTCCAGACTCGATTATTACAGACCGCCATCATATAGCTGGAATATTGCTGAGTGCGGCGTTAAACAACAAACAAACTTTAGTCACCTCCTAAGACAAGCATAAAAATATTCCCAACACTGTATTTGATGAGGACTTGTGGAACTAAGAACGCTAAATGAGTGAAAAATATAATAACCTCCGGTTCAAGTTCATCAGGGATTGCAACTGATCCTAGCTAATGTTATATGGACTTTTGTATAACTTCTAATTAACTGTTTGATTTGTATTCTAGAAGTTGGTGAGTAAGTAACAAAATGTACAACTGTATGGATAACAACTGTGGGTTTCTAACCTCTAATAAGGTTTCTTCTTACTGAGGACCGCCTCCGTGGTCTAATTGGTAGAGCATCCACCCGGAGAGCGGAAGATCTGGGGTTCGATCCCCGGCCGCGTCATACCAAAAGACGTTAAAAGGTCTGAGGCTGTAAATGGGCCTATTCCAAAGGACTGCCTCTGTGGTCTAGTGGTAGAGCGTCCGCCCGGAGAGCGGAAGGTCCAGGGTTCGATCCCTGGCCGCGTCATACCAAAAGACGTTAAAAGATGGTACTTGTTGTTACCCTGTCTGGCGCTCGGCATTAAGGGGCTAAACAAGGACTGGTCGGCTCGGAGTCAGTATACTGTGTCTGAGTGGGGTATTCCTGTTAAACTGCGGCATGGTATCTCAGTGAGCTAGCACTATAAATGGGCATCAGTCCGGACTAGTACAAGCAGCCACACACACACGTGCATGCACGTCGCTATATGAGTGCAATTATCTTGGACGCGACGTTAAACCCTATTTCACCTCACCTCTTCTTACTGAAGAAGGTAGATGTCGCCTAGTCAGTTAAGGTGCCAGAATTGGCTTTGCACAATTGTGTCTAAGGCAGTTTTGCCAGATACATGTACCTACAATCATGGGTTTGAACCCTGGTTTGCACTGACTATATTTCTAGGTTTGTCAGCACCTTACACATGCTTGTGGTTTCACCAAAGTGGAAAATGCCTAAGGCCAGGATCATTTCAGACGTTTCTTCAAACTGAAGTGACGTGATGTAACTGAAATCCTGTTCAAAACTGCATTAAACCAACTACACTCACTCCCTCTGCTTTGTCTACAACAACTTTTAAACATTGTCTTGTAAACATGCTCTTACTAATTTATGTTTTCAATACACGTGGATGATGTTGTCTCATGACTGTGTGATATACCCTGAAATACAGTAAGCATGTTGCATTGCTTGTGTTGAAGACCCTGATACTGTGAAGGAGGAGTTGACGGAGCTACTGTTGCAGGCCGGAGGGAAGCTGAACGCCAGAGATCACCAGGGACACATTCCACTTCATCGTAGCATCTTCACGGGCTCCATCCGGGGCAGGCAGTGTACGCCCTGCATCCGGCTCCTGGTGGAGGCGGGCTCCAAGCTGAAGCAAGACACTTTCGCTCATACAAGGTAGGCATTATTGCTCTGTGTAAGCAGATGCCCTTCGCTCATACAAGGTAAGCAATATTGCTCTGTGTAGGCAGTAAGCATTATTGCTCTGTGTAAGCAGATACCCTTTGTTCATACAAGGTAAGCATTATTGCTCTGTGTAGGCAGTAAGCATTATTGCTCTGTGTAAGCGGTTTATTACCAGTATATCGGTAAATTGAGATTCATTCTTTCCGTGATACGTATCACAATACTATTTTTTAATGAGTGGTATATCAGGTGATTTCAAATAATGATTTTTATCACGGTTTTTATGTTTTACAATAGCCTTATAACCTTGAAATGTTTCCGTATTGCAAGTTCGTTTCTGTAATTCCATATTCACAAAGATAGAGGTTAATTCTCAGTTATCTCCCTTATGTGCATATACATTCATGCACATTTGTCATCAACATACGGGTCCCCAAGCAGATGGTATTGTCAGTTTCTCATGAGCCACTAACTACTAGATAAGTATTTAGATAATGAAATTTTTATCTATATATTTATATGTTCACTTATTAGTAATTTTATCTTATCCTGATTCATCCTAATGCTACTGCATATGCTGGTTGGTTGTTTGTTGTTTTACGCAGCACTCAGCAATGTTCCAGCTATGTGATGGCTGTCTGTTAACAATCGAGTCTGGACCAGACAATCCAGTGATTGATATCATGAGCATCGATCTACGCAATTGGGATTGATGACATGCATCAATCAAGTCAGCGAGCCTGACCACCCAATGCCGTTAGTCGCCTCTTACAACAACCATAGGCACCTTTTACAGCAAGTTGCTGAAGACCTATTCTACCACGGATCTTCACGGGTCGCTAATGAATATGAGTCAGGATAAGTATAAATGATACTTTTACTCTAAAATATACGTTTTTGTTCCAGAACTTCGCCATTGTACTGGTTATGTTCCAAGGGAGATCTGAACATCGCTAGATACCTCGTCCAGTGTGGATGGGAACTACAGTCCGAATCCTGGATCCGATTTTCGGGGAAAACTCCGGAGCAGACCCACTTGCATCGCCTGTTCCAGATCCTGAACAAGTCCGTGCACTCCCTGAAGATCCTGTGTCGAGCAGTGGTGAGGGAAACAGTATCATTGGCAGTGGAGGACGCGGAAATAGTATCTCCCATCACTAGCCTCCCCTTACCTCAGGCGGTCAAGAACTTTCTCTGTTTGAGAACCTGTGAGGTTTCGGAGGATGATGTGTTGATGATGGAAAGTCATTAGTGAGAACATTGTAAATGTTTATGTCACAATCTCATCAAAATCAGGTGTTTTAGTCGATACAACACTGCTTGGATAATTTGAGGACATTATTTTGTCCAGAGTAGGTCTTGTTAGGTGAGCAGCCTCATCAGTTAATCAGCACTGAGTCTTCTAAATTCTCGGTACTAATAATTCAGGCAATTTTATCTGATTTCTGTATCTCTAGAACAAATAAAATGGCCAGTTCTGAATGTAAATAACGAAAGCTGCACCATGCTTTCATGGGGGATGTTTTATACATTCAGTCGTTCAACCAACCGACCAGGTGTTCCTTATGTTTTAGAAAGCTGACATCTGATTAGCTCAAGATCTCATTTAGCTTGGGGGTCAAAAGTCTCTCGGAGTTCACATGGCGTTACTTTCCGTGGAGCTGTTGTTGCCAGATTTAGACACAGGTATCACTTGGGATTAAAAATCTGATTCTAATGAGATTGTCTTTGTACTAACCTATAATCAAACCATGCTGAATGCTTCCAGTAGTATTTATTTGTGTCCCAGATATCGGCATGTTAGTGCATCGTCGTAGTTGTGTTATATGCTATGGGTAAGGGAATTGCACAGAAGAGCATTTCCCATGATCACCGTAGTAAGCGCCCTGCTCCAATAAGCGCTGCGTGACCAAGCTGTAAGTAATCTTTGTAAGCATGTTAACGCTCCCTAAAGATTATTTAGAGAAAACAATTGCCAAGTTAGTGTATTTTTATTGATGTTTGTAAGTTTGTTCACTACCACTCAATCTGTGACAACAGGTTTAACTTGTGTATGGTTTTAATAAGCGGTCACTTATTACAGCAAGTATGGTGCATTTAGTTAAATGTATGTAAGAATGTTGAACTGATTCAAATCAAGGGAATCAGCATCCATTACTAAATGTGAAATACGTCCAGACTGTTTTATTGAGAACTTATATTATTTGATATTTTTGACATCAGTGTCTATAAGAAAGAAAATATTTTGAACAAATTGCCCATTTATCATCAGAATTTTTAACAGAACATCTTTGAGATGACACAGTGACAATGTTTACAGGGCACTTCTTGTCCTTGCACCTTATAAAGGGGCAGGGGCAGGGACGGGGTCGGTGGGTAGGTTAGTAGTTAAAGCGTTCTCTTCTCACTCCAAAGTCCTGGGTTCGATTCTTCACATTGGTACAATGTGTGAAGCCCTTTCTGGTGTCCCCCTGTCGTGATATTGCTGGAATATTTTGAAAAGCGGTGTAAAAGCACACCCAAACCCACCCACCCACCCTGGTACACAGATGCCAACATTTCAATGTTGAAATTGTTCGTCTCTTTTTCTTGCTAACAGTGACACATCAATCAAATATTTCGCCCTAAGCTTATGAGCAGCATGGTCACACATTGTGAAAATCCCAGTCCGATTTACTTGTACCAGTGTGTCAACTGATATAACTCTCTCAAGACTTCTTCAATTGGATACCAAGACAAATTAGTATGGCGGATGCCTGAAGAAGGGGGATTGCCACCCTCCGAAATTTAATACATGACATGTCTTCAAGGCAGGGTGCTTAAGAAAAGAGATGTTAGGCTGACATCTAATGTTACTGCTACGATGACTGGTGTTGGGTCACTTGCACTGTAGTTCAACATTCTGATCATACAAACATTCCAGACTCTTGTCACTTAGCATCACATTTATCTTAGATTTGGGGTGCAAAGTTAGTGGAAATTGGTCAGCAATTACTTATTTCAAATTATTTATTAAGAAACATTGTCTCGATTCACCAATGTATCAAGAATTTACACCTGCCCATGTATCGATGACTTTAAATCAAATTCTGTATCAATATATGAAAAGTCATATTTATCAAGTTTTGCAATAACCTATCATTATAACTTCTCAGGCTAGCTATTCATTGCTGTCCAGAGCTCCAGATAAGCTTTTGGTGTTGTGGGTATTTTACCCATGCATTTTAAAATCACTGCGTATCAGCTATTCTATCTGGGTATTCAAATTTCTGTTACCCACTAGTTTTTACACATGTGGGTATTTAAGTTAAATATTTGAAAACCCTATTCATCTAGTCCCTGCAAACTGGTGTTGTGTGGGTTCGAGAGCTTTATAGGATTAAAAAATACCACGATACTTCCACAAGAAAGTGTGATGGCAAATGATCATGATGTCACTGTCATCGTGGAGTTTGGCAAGGTTGACGGAATGCCCGTTTATAATTTCAAAATAAGTTGCTGATTTGCCAATCCAATACGCAGGGTTACTTCACAATATTTTGAATATACGCACAAGTTTTATTTTTGTAGCGTATCTGTAATGTTCGTTGCGTATGTTTTACTGCGTATTTCTGCATTTCTGATGCGTATTTTACGCAGATACGCAGCTTATATGGATCTCTGCTGTCCATCACAAATCATCATGCTAAATCAGTGTAAAATACCATGAGACTAGAAAGAGCCGAAATTAAAGAATCATGTGAGTTAAACTCAAATTGGTTGCCAGTAACAACCTCTAGGAAGGTTAAAGATGTCTTGATGACAGAGCACATCGATGTATGTACAGGGACTCGAGTGTCATGATACTGTCAGCTAAATGTGAAGGAGTGGTTGTAGGTTTGAGTCCCAGTTTTACCCGATTATGTTTCTAGGTGTTTCAGCACTCGTGGGTTTCACCGTGCTCATGGGTTTCACTGTGCGCGAGGGTTTCAACATGCTCATGGGTTTCACTGTGCTCGTGGGTTTCACCGTGCTCATGGGTTTCACTGTGCTCGAGGGTTTCACCATGCTCGTGGGTTTCACCGTGCTCGTGGGTTTCACCGTGCTCATGGGTTTCACCCTGCTCATGGGTTTCACCATGCTTGTGGGTTTCACCATGCTTGTGGGTTTCACCAAAGTGGTAAATGTCTGAGACCTGCACCACTTCGGGCTTTCCTCCCACATTAAGCTGACAGGCCATGATATAACTGGAATACTGTTAAAAGCGGCGTTAAACCCAACTCACTCACTAGCGGGATGTACAGGATTTTGGGAGCTGAATGGGTTTGTACACCATGAGACCAATGGGTGCGCTGGAAAGATCAGCTCGTGAACTCCTTTACACCCTGCTAGTGACACATATAATGAATTTATTTACGTATTCACAAGTACAGAGATGGGGAATGTATTGTTCGGACGGATCTGACTTACAACTGGTGACAGTGTCATGGTAACTCGGCATGTGAACGGTAGGGATGTCACAATTTACTAGTAAGCCCATGCATTGATAGTATTTATCAGTTGATACGATACGCGATACACACTTACTGTGTCTATTAATATTTTAATCCTGTATTGTTTCACACATGGATTTCGAGGGTACATCTGAGGTATTTTGCAAACGGGGAATTTGCTATTTTACTTGATAACAGAAAATACCTACTTATGTTGACACATGAAATATATTAATGATTGAATGAGACATTTTTATTTTCAAATATGAGACCAGATATTCAAGCCACTTTAAATGGTGTTTATGCCCTATGAAATATAAATTGTTTTACAAAATTTCTGCAAATTAAGCATTATAAGCATCACGATACGTATCATATCATGAACAAAGTACCATGTAATGTACATGTATTGTATTGGGAGATTATTGTATTGTGACCTCCCAAGTCAACAGGGTCAATTATGATGTAACACACAGATGACATCATGTGATGTCATGATATCCGTACAGGCCAGCCAGCTTACCAATCAGATAGCTGGATTTTAGTATGAGTACTTAGAGCTATTGTATGATGAGGTTGGAGTATTGTGACACCCCAAACATTTAAACCCATGTCATTGTTTCTGTTTAAAGTCTTTCTACCATTAATGCCAATGTCTTTTATACTTAGAAACTTCACAACTGATTGTGTTTTTGCAAGGGTATGATATGTTGGGATGTCAATATGTATGAACTGACAGGTTACGATGACAAGATGTATGAACCAACTTATTAAGATGACAAGATGTATGAACCGACATATTAAGCTGACAAGATGTATGAACAAACTTATTAAGATGACAAAATATATGAACCGACAGGTTACGATGGCAAGGTGCATGAACCGACATGAAGATGGCAAGATGTATGAACCGACAGGTTACGTTGTCAAGATGTATGAACCGACAGGTTACGTTGCCAAGATGTATGAACCGACAGGTTACGTTGCCAAGATGTATGAACCCCCGACATGTTATGATGCCATGGTGTATGAACCGACATGAAGATGGCAAGATATATGAACCGACAGGTTACGTTGCCAAGATGTATGAACCGACAGGTAACGTTGCCAAGATGTATGAACCGACAGGTAACGTTGCCAAGATGTATGAACTGACAGGTTACGTTGCCAAGATGTATGAACCGACAGGTTACGTTGCCAAGATGTATGAACCGACAGGTTACGTTGCCAACATGTATGAACCGACAGGTTATGTTGCCAACATGTATGAACCGACAGGTTACGTTGCCAAGATGTATGAACCGACAGGTTACGTTGCCAAGATGTATGAACCGACAGGTTACGTTGTCAAGATGTATGAACCGACAGGTTACGTTGTCAAGATGTATGAACCGACAGGTTACGTTGCCAAGATGTATGAACCGACAGGTTACGTTGCCAAGATGTATGAACCAACAGGTTATGTTGCCAAGATGTATGAACCAACAGGTTACGTTGCCAAGATGTATGAACCGACAGGTTACGTTGCCAAGATGTATGAACCGACAGGTTACATTGCCAAGATGTATGAACCAACATGTAAGATGTATGAACCGACAGGTCACGTTGCCAAGATGTATGAACCGACAGGTTACATTGCCAAGATGTATGATCTGACAGATTATGTTGCCAAGATGTCTGAACCAACATGTAAGATGTATGAACCAACATGTTGACATGGTGTTGAAGTTGAACACTAGTCTTGATTTATAACTGATAGTGGTCCCTCTAAGTGTAGCTGAACGGGCATTACTGAATAACATTTATTGTAGCATTATGAAGCATGGGAATCAAGATATTGTATTTTCATATCATATGTTTGTTTCTTGTTTAGCATCGCACTCAGTGCATTGAGTTTGTAAATAATCGAGTCTGGACCAGACAATCTTGTGACTGATATCTTTAGCATCAATCCATGATATATTATTCAATCAATCCACCAAGTTACCAAGCCTGACCACCCGATCCATTTGGTCGCCTCATACGACCAGCATAGGTTGCTGGGGACCTATTCTTACCCAGATTTCCCACTGGGTCATCTTGACATCAACATGCTGCAATATTCCAGCATGTATGTCCCAAATATCCCATGTGTTCTTGTGTTGACTGGCAACATCTAGCAATGGATGACAAATTGTTTGATAGGCAACTTTGAAGTTGATGGATGACAAGGCTATCACATATTTATGGATAACAACTTCTTTAATACTGTAAAAAGCGACGTTTCTTTATAGATCCTTATACCATTGTCAAGTACGACTCTTGCTTGACAACGGTATAAGGATCTATACCCAAAACGTCGCTTTTTACAGTATTAAAGAAGTTGTTGTCCATAAAATTGTCTGTACCTTGTCAATGGATGGCAAAGATCACACTACAAAATGTTGGTTTCACCATGTGTGTTTTCTAAACTCATTTAGGGGCAGTGGAGTAGCCATTTGGTTAAAGCGTCGCTCGACACCGAAGGCAAGTTTTGGTTACCCCACATGGGTACAGCGTGAGGCCAATTTCTATAACCTGAACTCACTGCACTGATTTCATTATTACATGTTAGAGCAATCAAGGGGTATTAACCCACTGATTTAGTGGTGGATTTCCCAACCTTACATGAAGCAAATAACAACACCATGCGTGTCAAAATGACAGACTGGTTTGAGGATTGGATGGTCACCTGGCTGATTGTGTGTCGGCATTCCCTACTGATTGTTGCTCCAGCTATCAACCACATGTCTGCCAGACTCGACTAAACTATTTACAGGCCAACTTTCCATAGCTGGAATATTGTCATAAGCAGTTCACTGTCTGTATACAAAGGTCTTTGAGGAGTGGAGTGTATACAGGACAGTGAAGGATGCATTTTGGGGGCATAAAATAACATGCATTTCCATGCTATTTTTCATACAGGATCTTAAGAAACAGTTCTGAGTTTTACACCATATTATACATAAGGAAGAGACTTAATAATGAGGAACACAGTGTTTCAGAGTATATGCTTACTCCTTCATCAGGTGATTGAATGCAATGAGGCAGAGAGGATGTATATGTACATGTAAGAACATCCCCCCCCCCACCCCCCGTTTGACCATTGTCCACTGACAATGACCAATACTCATTGCCTCATAGCAGTTAACATCCATACATTCTCTTTCTTATGTGTATCACTCCTAAATGCCTTTCAAAGATTTCATACTATACATGTGGTATGTTTTTACATTACCAATATGAAATTTATTGCAAACTTAAATCAAATCTGTTAAATGCTGATCAGATAAATCTCCAACAGCTTAGTATATACGTAGATGGTTACATTCCCTGCAAGTGAGGATGTCATAATACATTGAGATGTCAATGTATCAATGAATACCTCATGTCAATGCTGTATCGATACAAAATTTAATAATTGATACTCAATTAATCATTCACTGCCACAGAAACTTTTATGTATATTAAAAAGTACCATGATTAACAATGGAAAGGCCGAAAATTAAATTTTAAATATTTAATTCAATTCAATTCTGCTTATTGTATTCAAGGCTATTGGCCCACATACAAAGGTATGTAATTTTACAATTGAAATAGGCAATAGAGGTACAAATAATTATAATGTTGAAATGGCGTTGTTGAACAAGCGATTTTCTTAATAATAATGCTAGTTTACTGAACTTCTTTAGGTGAACTACAACCGAGGTTCAACTTTTACACATTAAAATGGATCATTATTGGATCGACCTAGTTCATGTTCAGCATTAAATTTATTAACTGCAGGTCTGTAAAGGAAAGTTTTATCTACTGGTATATACTTACTGAATAATTAATTTCCTTATTGAGGTTATTTTGATATATATCATTATACTTTTGAGTTCCCAAATATGTGTCCCTATGTACTAGCCATCCAAACCAGGGCCGAGTTGCACAAACTGATCTTAGTGTTGGGACTTGTAGGTCAATATGGGAATAATGACCACCTTAGAACACATGTACTTAAAATGGCTTTGTACAAGTAGGCCATGGTCATTAATTAACAGTGTTACTATGTGAGGATAAGATGTAATTTTATTGAGAGTGGTTATTATCCGGATCATAGGTTTTCGGACATCATAGTTTTCAGACGGCCATGTTTATCACGATTACTCGCAGTATAATGAGAGGTGTGGCATCACAAAGACAGTGTAAATACAATGATGATGTCTTGTTTTTAAGTTAATGGTGTCTTTTACAAGTGAATGAGATGTTTTACAGTTGTTCATGTGATTAGCGAGAAAAGTACGACTGTTTCATAAGCATCCAAAAACCCGCAACATGGGGATAGTAATGTCAAATATGATCTTCCTTTCAGTGGCAACCCAATCTTGCCCTCATTATGAGTTACACTGAGACACCTCTGGGACTAATCTGTGAGGACTAACTTAGCTTGGTTTAGCAGTATCAAAAGCTACGTATGCATTAACTAGTTTTTGTAATACATTGTTTTTGAAGGTGGTGATCTGAGATGAAGTGTATCATTACTTTCCATATATGATGTGTGAACTCTTTGTTTCACAGAGAAATAAACACACATACACACACACACACACACACACACACAGACATGCACACGCAGATTCAGAAACATGCACACACACAGACGGAGAGACATGCACACACACACACAGATTCACAGAGACAAACTCACACACACACACATACACAGACAGACCCATAGACATACACAGAGACATGCACTTGCACACACATACACACACACACACACACACACACACACACACACACAGATGCACACCTCACACCAAATCCACCATTGGATGCGAGTACAATTGTCATGGTTGAATGTACAACTTTAGTCCTCGCACTTGAAACAGAATCGCAAAATATCACAATGATTAATAAATGAAGATAGCTACATGTGCGCGAACACTTATAAGGTGGAAAAAATACTTATTGATTCTATTTCAAATGGCGAGGACTATAGTACCCAGCTTCAGCCCGTTAGTACTGTTTTAACATTCCTGCCACGAGAACCAGGTGCTTTCAGACACATGTTTTGCTGTAACTGTTGTCCTGTAGGCTTTAGAAGGCAAATGAAAAGCTGATCAATAGGATTGTATTTATAACCCAGATAAACAAGCCATATGTCTCAGCTGACACACAGCATTGCAGCTTTGTGGATTCAAATATATGACCTTGGGCAGAATTGGGGCAGTGTCAGCAGAAATGGTGTTCGTGAATATGATCTGAATATTTCTTTTGGTCATTTTGATATGTATGTTTTATGTCTGAAATATATACTAAGAAGAAGTTAAAGAACACCCAATTCTTTCATATTACTCCTGTTAATCTATCAAGGCATGACATGACGGGTGGCCCAGTTGTCTAAGGCGTCGCGATTCGCTGTGCAGAGTTGCGTACCTTGGGCCCGCCAGTAACCTATGATTGTGGGTTCGATCCCAGTTCGCCCCGATTATGTTTCTAGGTTTGTCAGCACCATACTCGTTCTCGTGGGTTTAACCGAAGTGGTAAACGTCTGAGACCTGCATCACTTCGGGCTTTCCACCAACATTAAGCCGACACGCCGCGATATAACTGGAATACTGTTAAAAGGCCTGTTAAACCCAACTCACTCACTCACTCACTCACTCACTCACTCACTCACTCACTCACTCACACACATATTAACTATAGTAATATGAAAGAAACGGGTGTTCTTTAACTTCTTTTGAGCAGTATATATATCTGAGATGTGCAGCCATTTTACATTTTCATGTCCCAGAGTGGCTGTCTTGTGATATTGTCTATGTTTACATTCCACATGCTGAGCTTCTGGTTCCATACTATACATTGGTTAAAGAACACATGCATTTACATCAGTCTTTCCTATGTGTAACTGTGTCGTTTTTAAGTTAACTTTCTTTTGAAAGTTACATTTTCGTATCTTGTGATGGTACAGTTTACTATACCATTATGTACTATAAAACATTCCTATAGTGAACACTAACGGACGACATCACCATGCATTTAGTCTTGTCTCCACCCAGCAGAACACAAAAGGAATCTGTCAGGCAACATTTTAAAATATATTTCCCTTTCCCATCCTCCTCGATTATCCCTGTGTTCCTTCTATGTCCATTATTATTATAACTCCATCACTTTGTCTCTATTTACAAGAGGTGGCCAAGTCGTCTAAGGTGCCACAATTCGCTGTGCAGAGTTGCGTCCCTTGAGCATGCCAGAAATCTATGATTTTGGGTTTGAATCCCGGTTCGCCCCGATTATGTTTCTGGGTTTGTCAGCACCGTACCTGTGCTCGTGGGTTTCACCAAAGTGTTAAACGTCTAAGACCTGCATCACTTCAGGCTTTCCTCCAGCATAAAGCTGACACGCCGTGATATAACTGGAATACTGTTAAAAGCGGCGTTAAACCTAACTCACTCACTCACTCCATCACTATGTCTATTTACAAGGGGTGGGGTAGCCCAGTGGTTAAAGTGTTCGCTCGTCAAGCGGAAGACCTTGGTTTGATTCCCATTATAGGTACAATGTGTGAAGCCATTTCTGGTGTCCACCACCGTGATATTGTTGGAATATTACTAAAAGCGAGGAAACTGTACTCTCTCTCTCTCAGCACAAAACCAAACTCACCCCCTCACTCCTTTGCTATGGGTCCAGGCTAGTTATCCGA